CTGTTCCCCCCTCCTCTCCCCTCCCTATCCCTCCCCCCTCCCCCCCGACTTCCCAGAGCAAAATACAGGGTAAAATATTAAACAAACATAGTCAAACATAAACAACCTAACTATAAACTCTAAACATCCCTCAGCACTTTAACTCCCCCTTACATGCCAAAATATATAAGTATAAAAAATCTATCTAAATATTTCATTCATAAGCTATTTGCAACTTTTTAGTCCCATATTTATTCTGAATGTAGTCGATCCATCTTCTCCATTCTGCTATGTATCTTTCATTTGAACAGTCTTTCAAATATGCAGATATTTTGGCCATTTCCGCCAAATTAGTTACTTTTAATGTCCAGTCCTCAATAGTAGGTAAGTCTTCCTTCTTCCAATACTGCGCCACCAACAATCTGGCTGCAGTTATTAGATTCAATATCAATTTAGTCTCTATCACCGTACAATCTGTAATTATACCCAATAAAAAAAGTTGTGGCGTAAATTTTATCTTCTTTTTGAGAATATTTTGCATAATCCACCATATCTTAATCCAGAATGCCTTAATTTTTTTACAAGTCCACCATATATGATAATACGTTGCGTCATCACATTTACATCTCCAGCATGTGGACTGTAAACTGGGATACATACTGGCTAACTTTTTGGGATCTAAGTGCCATCTATAAAACATTTTGTAAAAATTTTCTCTCAAATTTTGAGCTTGAGTAAATTTTACATTTCTAACCCATATTTTTTCCCACGTTTCCATCATTATTGGTTCCTCAATATTTTGTGCCCATTTTATCATACAATCCTTCACTAATTCCATCTCTGAATCTATTTCTATCAATGCATTATACAACCTTTTAATATGCATTGGGCTTTGATCCCTTATTTGTTTTATCAAGTTTTCATCATTTTGTATAATACCAATTTTCTGATCTTCTTTCCATCTACTGTACAACTGTCCATATTGAAACCAAGTTTGTATTACCCTTTCTTGCTTTAATACCTCTAGAGACTTTAACTTCAATATACCTCTTTCCATAATAAGAAGCTCTTTATAAGTAATCACATCTTGTTTTTGTTCTATACTTATATTTTCTATCGTGTGTCTAGGTATTGCCCATATGGGTAATTTACTATTTAATTTATATTGATATTTTTTCCATACACGTAACAATGCATTCCTCAGTATATGACTTCTGAAATTCTTATCCACCTTTTTGTCATATAATAAATATGCATGCCACCCATATAATAAGTCATATCCCTCAATATTCAATATTCTCTCTTCTGTTAAATTAATCCAATCACTGATTGCTGATAAGGCAGCTGCCTCATAATATAATCTTAAATTGGGCATTTTGAGACCTCCTCTTTCACGTATGTCTTGTATTATTTTTTGCTTTACCCTTGGTCTCTTTCCTGCCCACACAAAATTGCTAATACCCTTCTGCCATTCATTCAAATTTCCATCTTTCTTCAATATTGGTATCATGTGAAAGAGAAATAGAAGCTTTGGTAAAATATTCATTTTCACTGCCGCTATCCTTCCCAATAACGATAGATGTAATTTTTTCCAATTTTCCAACTCCTTCTGTATTTTTTGCCACAGTAATTCATAATTATACTTATATAATTTTGCATTTGATGTCATAATATAAACACCTAAATATTTAACCTTATTTACTATTTCAAATCCAGTTATTCTTTCCATTTCCTCTTTTTGACTTGCAACCATATTTTTAGTTATTATCTTTGTTTTCCCTGCATTTATTTTGAATCCAGAGACTTGTCCATATTGATTAATTATTTCCATCAAACCTGTGACCGATTGTACTGGTTGGGTCAACATCACAACCAGGTCATCTGCAAATGCTCTTAATCTATAATCATCCTGCCAAATTTTAATTCCCCTTAATTTATCTGAATCACGTATTTTATTCAACAACAATTCCAAAGTCAAAATAAACAACAATGGAGATAAAGGACAAAGGATAAAGGATTCTTGATAGAGTAAATTTTAAGGGTCACCATTAGGTGGATTATTGCCCGAACTGTTAGATTGGCTCACTTTGAGTGGCAAGCTTAATTTTCTGGTCTTTTTAGGAAGAAGGATACATATTAGGAAGAAGAGGTTACGGATTTTGTCTGGTGGTGACATGTGAGAAGCCAAGGCAACCATATGTCAAATTAATACAGAGAATATACTACACTACACTTTTATGAAGAAGAGATTGGGAAGGAATTCCTCTTGGCAAAATTACCCCATTATCTATCACTTTTGTCTTCTATAACAACATATCTCGAGACAAAAAATATAAGCATATGTCCCCCAAAACCCCTTTGGTTTCCACCTTTAACTTCTGGGTGCACTTCAGTTGATTGTCTACTCCCATACTCTATCCAATGAGGCCCCCTTACCTGTGGGACCTTGAAGATGCTGAAGATGGAGGCCATCTGCCTTGAGGATCTGGGGTTGAGATCTCCGATGACAGAGAGCAGAGGGTGCTGCCTGTCACATTTGTAACCTGGAACCATTCGGCCTCTTGTGGAGAGAAGGGAGAGGCTGATCATGGAAATCTCCATCTCAGCCTGAAAATTGCTATAGATGTGGAAGCCAAGGGTGATGTTGGGGAGGAGAACCAGATCCTTGTTGATCTCTGTGACTGCAAACACCAAGGCCATGAATTGCTGGTAGTTCTTGGGTATGATTCTACAGTGAGAAAATCATTGGGGAGATTTTAAGGAAAGCTTGTGTTGATGGAGTTTATCCTGCTTATTTTTTCAATGTCCTTTGTATCAGGAAACTCCAAATTTCATTGGAATTCATTCCAAAATTCCAAATGTACATTTGTACATTTCCTGAAGGTCCCTATTTAGGGGCAATCCCGATTCTAAGATGGATGGATTTTTTACAACTGCTCCACACTGTAAATGGATTGACTGCATCTTTGAGTTTTTCATCAGGAATCTTTGTCCGAATAAATGTTGTAAGTCAACTTCTTCAATAGGCCAGCACAGTTTCTAAGGTGTTGTCCTTCCTCACTTTTTGGTGGTTTATTAACTTCAAGAGTTCTGGGAATATGGAGAATTCTAGCCTATTTTATGAGTTTAGTTCTTTGTTGAGAAAAGCACAAAAATGTGAACATTGCAAACATCACTAGAACAAGTACTTTTGAAGAGACTCCCTGAACACAAAGCAAACCAAGTAATTATTTACATCTTTCCCCTTTGGATGAAATTTAAAAAATATTATCCAGAACTATAGATGGTTTTTCTTTAAAGGATTGGAAGGTGAATGTAAGTACAGTTCCCAGCGGAAAATTCCCACCAATAATGACATCACCAGGCCTGTAAAACTCTCTCTTAGTCTGTAAAGTGTCTGTCAACACACACCCAGTTTGCATCATCATAGCAATAGTTGGAGGCAGGAGCCAGAAGAGCAGCAGCAACAGGAGAGGCAGCCCAGTCATTCTTCTCACCTTCCCCTCTAGATCAGAAATCAAGAGGTTATATTTTTTGCAGAAGTTAAATTGTAGGGAGCCCTTGAAATCTCAGCAGAGCTTTAGCACAAGAGAGATAGTCTGTGCCACCTGAATGGCCCCCAAGGCAAATTTATATTCAACCGTGCTTCCTCTTACCTGTGTATGGTCTGTGACCAAAGAGGATACCAAGGCCATACAAGTCTCACCAAACCCTGAAGTTGCCTCTTCACAACACAAGACAAGGTGACATGTTCTGCTCCCAACGGGAGAACTCCGAATATATAATTTAAAGCAGGTTTTATGTCGGAAGATCTTCATGGGTAGAAATCCATAGGGGATACATTAGAAATTACCATTCTCCTGATAATTACAAGGAAAAACAATTTTCCTATGTACTGAGCAATACACCAGATAAAGAAAAATGATTTTGGGACTCTTGTTGTTAATCCACAGATCAGATGCAGTTGAGAGTCAAGGTGAAGTTGGGTATTTGAATTATGTGAAACTGAGCATGGGGATGTCTTCATGGGGATGGTGGGGATGGTGGCCCTTGACAATCAGTTGTACCCTAGTAAGTCTGGGCAATCATACCAACACTTGGATGGAGTAAGTGGTTTATAAATGCCAACATGGCAGGGGATGAAATTAGACACTAACTTCTCCCATAGAACTTAAAAAAGAGAAACTTTCTCACAGGGAGGACAATTAACCAATGGAACATTTTGCCTTCAGACGTAGTGGGTGCTTCATCTCTGGAGGTTTTGAAGAAGAGACTGGAGAGTCATGTGTCTGAAATGGGGAAGGATCTCATGGTTGAGTGGGGAGGGGGGCTGGACTAGAAGACCTTTAAGGTCCCTTCCACCTCTATTCTGATTTTGATCATCAGCCTTTTTCCCTCTGTTGAATCATTTCTATCTTTCTGCACCTATTTGCAGACCTTATCATTATTCCCTTCATTTTCCCTTCTGTTATAAAGACTGAATTGGTCCAGGCAGTCACTGGGACACAGAGATTGTGCAGCTGTCTGACAAGGGCTTCCTTAAAGCTGTTCGTTCCATTTTTTTGCTTCTTGTTCATTCCATTTCCCCATAAATCATAACCATCTTGGTGTTGTGTATATTACCTTCCAAATACTTACCCATAGTGAGTATGTATATCAAATATATGAACATTTATTGCAAATCATTTGAGTTCTCAGAGACCGCAGTGTCCACTGTATATAAGAATAAACAGACATTTGCAGGCCCAAATAACCAACCGTTAAGCATTTCCTGTATTCTTACCTGTAAGTTCATTAAATAACCAAGAGAATATCACACAACCATATTTTTCTTACTACTCACAATACATTGCATTTAACTTCACCCTTCCTTCCTTCCCTCCCTCCCTCCCTCCTTCCTTCTTTCCTTCCTTTCTTCCTTCCTTCCATCCACCCATCCATCCACCCACTCACATTCCTTCTTCGTAATATTTGGAAAAAATATTAAGAAGAGAGCAAGAGCAGAAAAATATCCATCAATATCAATTTCACATGATATTATTTATTAATAAAGTATGTTTTTCAATTAACATAATAGAGAATAAAACAATATGGTTCATTTCAATGCTAGAATTAAAAAAAATCTCTAATAGTCAATTGAAAGAAAATTTCAGTAGGAAATTCAGCAAAGGAATCAGTGGAAAGGAACAAGGTTAAAAACACTGAGAGTGAAACAAACCCAACATATTCTTAAATATGCTTTTGATTAAAATTAATAAAATGGGAAATTATCATTTTGGAAACTAATAGCCAGATAAACAATATCAATGTTTATTATCGTTGATCTTTGGGACAACTAGCATTAATGAAAAAAGTGGGTGATTGTTGCAGATTAACAGACCTTCTGCGATTACTCGCATCACTTGATTTCCAATTGTTTAAGGGACAAGCCCGCCTCTGATTTCCACTTTTAAAAGAAATGAGATCAAATTGAAAAATAACCAAGATCAAAATGAATATTCCCAATCCCTGCATAAGTGGATGTGGAATGAGGCATTTAATGGGTTTTTATGTTGTGATTTTTAATGTTGTAATCCAGCTAGTGTCACCTGTGTGTAAATTGGGTATCAATATAAATATGTTTCATATTTATAATCAGAGATTATAATCAGAGATTCTTGTGCCTCATTATATTCTCTCTGCAATTGAGATTGGGTTTAAATAGGATAATGTAGCATTTGGGGAAAAAGATACAAGCCAAGAGACCAGACCCAGAGGCCAAGATGGAGAAGATCTCCACGGCCACCATGGACTTCCCTTTGGTGCTCAGGTAGGTGGGGAGGAAGCTGATCCAAACACTGCAAAAGACCAGCATGCTGAATGTAATGAATTTGGCTTCATTAAAGCTGTCAGGCAATTTCCTAGCCAAAAAGGCCACCGTGAAACTGATGACAGCCAAAAAACCCATGTAGGAGAGGACAGCGTAAAACATTAAAGCAGAGCCTTCATTACATTCCAAGATGGCCTCTCCTACTAAAGAGTGGAAGTCAAAGTTGGGAAATGGAGGAGAGGTTGCCAGCCAGGTGGCACAAAGAACTGCTTGTATCAGGGGACAGGCTAAGACAATGGAGTTCGTCAGAGGTTTTCCTAAGAGTTTCCTTGTCTTGTTCCCTGGCTTGGTGGCCATGAAGGCCAGAACCACCATGACAGTTTTTGCCAAGATGGAGGAAACCGCAAGGGAAAAGAGAATGGCAAAGGCAGTTTGTCGGAAGAGACAGGTGAGCTTCCCAGGTCGACCAATGAAGAGGAAGGAGCAGAGGAAGCAGAGCAGGAGGGAGACCAGGAGGATGTAGGTGAGATTTCTGTTGTTGGCCTTGACAATTGGTGTGTTGTGATTTTTATGGAAAATCACCAGAACTGCCGATGTGGTCACAGAGAGGAAAAGAGTGAGAGATGCTAAAGAGTATCCCAGGGTGTCTTGATAGGAAAGGAAATGGATCTTCTTGGCAATGCAGTGGTCCTTCTCCTTGTTTGGATATTGGTTTTCTGGGCAGGGGTCACAGCGAGCTGCATCTGAAATCAAAAGTCAGTGTGAATTTCATGGTGAATCAACAAGGGCAAATCATCCATCCATATTGACAATGCTGAGTTAGCCAGAAAAACTGGCTCAACAACTTTCCTTTATGCTTCGAATCCACCCATTCAAACTTTTTTGCAGGGAAGGGTTAGCAGACATTGATAGATGTACCTGCTCTGTGTCAGACAGGTCCATAAATTTCCTGGGAATTCGAGTGTTCTGATAGAAGAGGCAGGTTGTTAATTAAGATTAAAGCTAGAATCTCACATCCCATTCTTTCCCAGAAAGATTGGTGTCTGGTTTTCCTGATGGGATGTATAAGTAGGAGTAGAAAGCCAAGTAGGGAACCCATGAATTGTGCCCCAAAACCAACTGTCAATCCTGAAGCTGACCTGACCAGAGCCACCTTGACACCTTCAATGTTGCCACACTGGAGCTGAGGGATAGGGAGGCAGGATTTTAGATAGCTGGGATTTTGTAGCCAAAACAAAATACTTTCTCTTTGGAACCAAGGACATTCTCACAGAATGTATTCAGAGGAAGGTGGAGTGATGTCACCAGGCAACCAGATAGCAATATAATTGGACCATGTGACTGGTTGTTTTGAGAAAGTGACAAACTTTTACTTTTAATTAGGTGAAAACTGTGGGAATCTTCAGTGTCGGTTTTCACCAGAATCTGTTCCAATATGATATATCCAATAAAGCTACTCTTTGAGGAATCTACCTGCCTTGGAGTTTTGCTTGATATGGGTGTCTTACTTGGAACTCTGACACAAAGCTATATTAAGTTTCTGAGGACCAAGAAAAGTGGCCTGTGGGGTAGTACAGTTAAGATTCATGAATTGAGAGGGTCTGCTGAAAAGTATGAATATGCTGAAGCATGTAAATCCTGCCAAAATTAATATTTTCCACTGGTTTCCTTGATCCTGGAAGAGCTACATTTAAAGCGTGTCTACCTGTCTCATTAGAAATGGTCCCTTCTGGACAAGGGGCACATTGGTAACAGCACACCTGCTTGCCCTCTGGAACGCTTCTTTTCTCTCCTGCATGGCACCTTTTCCTGCCACACCTGGCAAAGGGCACCTTCTAAAAAAGAGAAGAGAGATTCTGTAGGTGGCCTCAGCAAAGAATATTCTTCAGTTATTCATTTGTACATTGCTCTTTCCATCTTTAGAACGTCTTCAAAAAAAAATGGTTTACCAGAAATCAGGATAAGCTCCAGAGGGAGTCAGGCCAATGCAATCCTGACCCACCAACGGATGCTGGAGATGGAACTGGGACCTCAAAATGCAAAGGAAGGCTTGTGACATGGAGCTACAGCTTTTCTAAAAGAAAGAACCGTGGGGATCCAACTGAATGGAAACGGTCCATGGAAATCATTCTTGCTTGCTTCAATAGTGTTCTAGGTTTCAAGCAGGAATTCTTCCTAACCTATCCTATCCTGGACTTTTCAGAAGTCAAATCTCAAATGTGTTCCACTCAAAAGCTTGTTTTTTCATCAAATCCCTGAATTTAACTGTTTCCCAGTGAAAAGGGTGTTATGCATCTCCTGGAGTGAATGAATGCTTTGCTGAATTTACAACGTTTCCTTCCAGTTCACCTTTGTCACCCAGATGATTTCATCAGAGTTAATGGTGAAATCTTGTCCTGGGGAAGCTGTGGAATCTATTTGCCCAACTTTCATGGGGACAAAAGATTGATTGGGGAGGAAAAGCCAGTTGAGGAGATCATAACGAGTAGAAACCAATCCACTTTCTGAGAAGGAGACTTCCTCTCCAGCACTGTTGTTGAACTTGATGTTCCTCAGATGGGAAAGAATCTGAAAAAAAAAAAAAAGACACCTGGACTAATTGGCTGAACTCCACACATAGGACATCCTGGTTTCTGTCATAATCAGCCTAGGAGATGGGTCCATATCTGAGAAGCTAAATGAGTTCCCTTAATGGAGGTCAAAGTAATCAGAAGTAACATCAAATATTCAACTTCAATGACAACACATTTTGCTGGTCATCAGTATTATGGCGTCTTCAATTCCAGTCTTACAAGAATGATAGCTACATACAAACATTTTAATGCCATATTCTAAATTACATTGTGTAGTTTTGTTTTGTGATATTTGGCAAGTTACATTTTTAATTTTATTTGAGTCCATGAGAAATGCATTTAAAGAATGATTAAATAATTAAATTGACAGGGTCCTTGGAGCTATCTGAGGGTGGTTGTTTTCTTGCAGATGTTTTATGGCCTAAAATGGATAACATTGATAGTGATATTACTCTCTTCTAGCATTGATAATGCTCTTAGAGCACCAAGACTCTTCATTTCAACCTCTAATATTCTCCTTCATTGGTAAATACTTTCCATCATAACTTTGCAAGCCAGACTTTCTCTAGCTGATAGTCAAAGAGAGCAGAATGAAGAAGTAGATCTGACCAAGAAGGACCACATGGAGAATTCGTTACTTCACTGTCCAGAGAGGAATAATTTATCCTTTGATGTTGAAATTTTAGATCAGGAACCCATTAGGACCATGTTGAGTTCTTCTTCATATGCTGAGGTTGACAGAGACTTAACACAACAAACAAAGCAGTACAAGAAACAACATACTATAAAAATAGGGTGGACTCACAAAGAATGAGGACCCAGTTTGTGGGAGCAATAAGCTGACTTTGTATAAATATACAAAAGGATGAAGGCTATTGCTGAGCACATTGTAAGCCGCCCTGAGTCTTCGGAGAAGGGCGGCATATAAATCAAATAAAAAAAAAAAATTCTAAGACACAACAGTAAAATGAATTGAGGGTCTTTTTAAAGATTGGATTCAGGCTACCTACTGAGAGAAAATGAAGAGATTCTACAAAAATTCCTGTCTGGGACTTCAACTGACCTGTTGAAGCATCTTGCAGAAATGCACCCAGATTGTCATCATGCTCTGTGATGACCACTTCTCCTTGAAGTGGTTACACCTGATTCTCAGGCAACCACTCATGTCCTTCCAGGAACTTCTAGGAAGCTCTTTGCTCTTATGAACAATTGGTTTGGTTTAATTCACTTTTTCCTCCATCTATCCCTTTTCAACAAAAACCTCTCACTTAATTCAAATGACAGGGTTTATTTTTAATATATATATAATCTATCTATCTATCTATCTATCTATCTATCTATCTATCTATCTATCTATCTATCTAATAAGTTACATTATATATGTATATAGATAATCAATGAAAAAGCTACCAAAAGGTCAATAAATGATGAATTTTTTTTAAAAAAGAGATGATGGATAGAGACAAAATAGTTTTCAAAATGGGGGCTATATTAAAAATGAGGAGTAAAGTACAAATTGGGAAAATACTATTACAAACACTGATGTATCATAATTTGCTAGAATTACAGTGTGCATGACAAGTCAGAATACTATGGTTATGTATATCTAATCGTACTATTATGTTAGCATTGTGTAAAAAGTATATCAACCCAGACAATGTACTGTCCACAAGATATGTATGGCTGTTAAAGGAAAGTTACAAATAAAGCATATAGATCGCATATAGATATTTAATGCAAGAAATGCATATAGATAGATTCCTATCTAAAGATCTGTGGACGAGATAAAAAGTCACTGGGATTACCTGCCACGATTGAATATTTGAGATCCTCTTTCCAAGCCTCATCATGGCGGGTCGTGCTCCAGATCCATGCATTGCATGTAATGCGTGTGCCACAGCATAAATCGCATTGTAGATGTTGTAACTTTCTCCTTCCATGCTTGTTTCAAAAATGTAAGAAGGTAAACTTTGTAAATTCTCCTTTCCTGTACATTGTTTCTTCCCCTTTGTAAAGATCCTGCCTGGATTGTCCATCATGCAGCCAAACAACCTTTCCCAACATGGAGGGAGAAAGACGTCCCCTTGTGGCTTCAAGGGGTCTAAAGACAGGAGGAAATGACTGAATTCTGAGACATCCCCAGTGTGGGGCCTAAAATGCAAAGCCCCATGGAAGGGCTTTACTACTTTCAATATGTCTTGATTCCCCACCACACTAAGTTTCCAATGGGAAGTTAAGATCCAAACTTTCCAAAATGATGTCTTTCTCAAATATTCATGGATACTCATTGCTGCCTGTACATTTGTAATACTATTAGAGTCTCCAAATAGAATAATCACTTCAGCTTTAGACCAAGTCTCCAAAATCTGAAGTATTTTCAACATTGGAGCAGCAAGAAAATCCGATTTAAATATTTCAGTGAAGGCCAAACAGATCTCCTTCTCCTGGAGCATTGGCGTCAGAGATGAGATGAAACGTTCTCCATTGTCATCTTCAGGGGCCACAAGCCCAACCCAGTTCCAGTGGAAATACAGGAGCAGCTGAATTAAACCCTCATACTGAGCAAATTCACTGGGATTAATCCGGAAAAAGGAAGGGTGAACTGATCTGCATTCCAGAGGGCTCTCAAAGCCAACACTTAGCTGGAGAAAGTGAGATTCTTGATAGAGTAAATTTTAAGGGTCACCATTATGGGGATTATTGCCTGCCTTTTAGGCTGGCTCACTTTGAGTGACAAGCTTAATTTTCTGGCCTTCTTAAGAAGAAGGATTACATATTAGGAAGAAGAGGTTACGTATTTTGTCTGGTGGTGAATTGTCAGAAGCCAAGGCAACCTTACATCAAATTAATACAGAGAATATACTACACTACACTTTTATGAAGAATGGATTAGGAAGGAATTCCTCTTGGCAAAATTATCCCATTATCTATCACTTTTGGCTTCTATAAAAACATATCTCGACAGAAAAATAAATATATGTTCCCCAAAACACCTTTGGTTTCCCCCTTTAGCTTCTGGGTGCACTTCAGTTGATTGTCTACTCCCATACTGTATCCAGTGATGCCCCCTTACCTGTGGGACCTTGAAGATGCTGAAGATGGAGGCCATCTGCCTTGAGTATTTGGGGTTGAGATCTCCGATGACAGAAAACAGAGGGTGCTGCCTGTCACATTTGTAACCTGGAACCATTCGGCCTCGGGTGGAGAGCAGGGAGAGGCTGATCATGGAAATCTCCATCTCAGCCTGAAAATTGCTATAGATGTGGAAGCCAAGGGTGATGTTGGGGAGGAGATCCCGATCCTTGTTGATCTCTGTGACTGCAAACACCAAGGCCATGAATTGCTGGTAGTTCTTGGGTATGATTCTACAGTGAGAAAATCATTAGGGAGATTTTAAGGAAAGCTTGTATTGATGGAGTTTATCCTGCTTATTTTTCCAACGTCCTTTGTAGCAGGAAATCCTGAACTCCATTGGGTTGGTTTTGTACATTTGCACATTTCTTGAAGGCACCTATATAGGGGCAATCCTGATTTCAAGATGGATGGATTTTTTACAACTCCTCCACACTGTAAATGGATTGACCTCATCTTTGAGTTTTGCATCAGGAGTTTATGTCCGAATAAATGTTGTAAGTCAACTTCTTCACTAGTCTGGCACAGTTTCTAAGGTGTTGTCCTTCCTCACTTTTCGGTGGTTTAGTAACTTCAAGAGTTCTGGGAAGATGGAAAATTCTAGCCTATTTTATGAATTTGGTTCTTTGTTGAGAAAACCACAAAGATGTGAACATTGCAAACATCACTAGAACAAGTACTTTTGAAGAGAGTCCCTGAACAAAATTATTTACATCTTTCCCCTTTGGGTGAAACTTACAAAATATTCTCCAGAAGTATAGATGCTTTTTCTTTAAAGGACTGGAAGTTGGATGTATGTATAGTTCCCAGGGGAAAATTCCCACCAATAATGACATCACCAGGCCTGTAAAACTCTCTCTTACTCTGTAAAGTGTTTGTCAACACACACCCAGTTTGCATCATCATAGCAATAGTTGGAGGCAGGAGCCAGAAGAGCAGCAGCAGGAGGAGGAGAGACAGCCCAGTCATTCTTCTCACCTTCCCTCCTAGATCAGAAATCAAGAGGTTATATTTTTTGCAGAAGGGTGTTTTTTTTTTTTTTTTTTTTTTTTTGCAGAAGTTAAATTGCAGGGAGCCCTTGAAATCTCAGCAGAACTTTAGCACAAGAGAGATAGTCTGTGCCACCTGAATGGCCCCCAAGGCAAATTTATATTCAACCGTGCTTCCTCTTACCTGTGTATGGTCTGTGACCAAAGAGGAAACTAAGGCTAGCTGAGTCTCACCAAACCCTGAAGTTGCCTCTTTGCAACACAAGGCAAGGTGACATGTTCTGCCCCCACCGGGAGAACTCCAAGTATCTAATTTAAAGCAGGTTTTATCTCAGAAGATCTTCATGGGTAGAAATCCATAGGGGATACATTAGAAATTACCATTCTTCTGATAATTACAAGGAAAAACAATTTTCCTATTTACTGAGCAATACACCAGATAAAGAAAAATGATTTTGGGACACTTGTTGTCAATCCACAGATCAGATGCTGTTGACAATCTAGAGGAATTGTGTATTTGAGTTATGTGAAACTGAGCATGGAGTTTGGCCTCTTCCATAGTTTGCTTGGATAGTATAAGTCTTCATGGGGATGGTGGCCCCTGTGACAATCAGTAAGTCCTAGTAAGTCTGGGCAATCATACCAACATTTGGATGGAGTAAGTGGTTTATGAATACCAACATGGCGGGGGATGAAATTAGACACTAACTTCTCCCATAGAACTTAAAAAAGAGAAACTTCCTCACAGTGAGGACAATTAACCAATGGAAAAGGTTTTCTTCAGACGTTGTGGGTGCTTCATCACTGGAGGTTTTTAAGAAGAGACTGGAGAGTCACTTGTCTGACATGATATAGGAAATCCTGCTTGGGGGCGGGGAGTGGACTAGAAGACCTTTAAGGTCCCTTCCAGCTCTGTTCTGATTTTGATCATCAGCCTCTTCCCCTCTGTTGAATCATTTCTATGTTTTTATACCTATTTGCAGACCTTATCATTGTTCCCTTCATTTCCCCATCTGTTATAAAGACTGAATTGGTCCAGGCAGTCACTGGGACACAGAGATTGTGCAGCTGTCTGACAAGGGCTTCCTTAAAGCTGTTCGTTCCATTTTTTTGCTTCTTGTTCATTCCATTTCCCCATAAATCATAACCATGTTGTGTATATTACCTTCCAAATACTTACCCATAGTGAGAATATATATACCAAATCTATGAACATTTATAGCAAATCATTTGAGTTCTCAGAGACCATAGTGTCCACTGTATATAAGAGTAAACAGACATTTGCAGGCCCAAATAACCAGCCATTAAGCATGTCCTGTATTCTTACCTGTAAGTTCATTAAATAACCAAGAGAATATCACACAACCATATCTTTCTTACTACTCACAATGCATTGCCTTTAACTTCACCCTTCCTTCCTTCCTTCCTTCCTTCCTTCCTTCCTTCCTTCCTCCCTCCCTCCCTTCCATCCACCCATCCATCCACCCACCCACCTTCCTTCTTCGTAATATTTGGAAAAAATATTAAGAAGGGAGCAAGAGCAGGAAAATATCCATGAATATCAATTTCACATGATCTTATTTATTAACAAAGTATGTTTCTCAATTAACATAATAGAGAATAAAACAATATGGTTCATTTCAATGCTAGAATTAAAGAAAAAACCGTCTAATAGTCAATTGAAAGAAAAAATTTCAGTAGGAAATTCAGCAAAGCCTCAGGCATCAGTGGAAAGGAACAATCTTAAAAACACTGAGAGTAAAACAAACCCAACATATTCTTAAATATGCTTTTGATTAAAATTAATAAAATGGGAAACTATCATTTTGGAAACTAATATCCAGATATACAATATCAATGTTTATTATCGTTGATCTTTGGGACAACTAGCATTAATGAAAAAAGTGGGTGATTGTTGCAGATTAACAGACATTCTGAGATTACTCACATCACTTGATTTCCAATTGTTTAAGGGACAAGCCCATCTCTGATTTCCACTTTTAAAAGAAATGAGATCAAATTGAAAAATGTCCAAAATCAAAATGAAACCTCCCAATCCCTGTATAAATGGAGGTGGAACGATGCATTTAATGGGTTTTTATGTTGTATTTTTTAATGTAAACCAGGCGGAGACACCTGTGTGTAAATTGGGTATCAATATAAATATGTTTCATATTTATAATCAGAGATTATAATCAGAGATTCTTGTGCCTCATTATATTCTCTCTGCAATTGAGATTGGCCTTAAATAGGATAATGTAGCATTTGGGGAAAAAGATGCAAGCCAAGAGACCAGCCCCAGAGGCCAAGATGGAGAAGATCTCCACGGCCACCATGGACTTCCCTTTGGTGCTCAGGTAGGTGGGGAGGAAGGTGATCCAAACACTGCAAAAGACCAGCATGCTAAAAGTAATGAACTTGGCTTCATTAAAGCTGTCGGGCAATTTCCTGGCCATAAAGGCAACAGAGAAACTGATGAGTGCTAGAAAACCCAGGTAAGCAATGACAGCATAAAACATGGAAGCTGAGCCTTCATTACATTCCAAGATGGCCTCTCCTACTAAAGAGTGGAAGTCAAAGTTGGGAAATGGAGGAGAGGTTGCCAGCCAGGTGGCACAAAGAAGTGCTTGGACCAGGGGACAGGCTAACACAATAGAATTGGTCAGTGGTTTTCCTAAGAGTTTCCTTGTCTTGTTCCCTGGCTTGGTGGCCATGAAGGCCAGAACCACCATGATAGTTTTTGCCAAGATGGAGGAAACTGCAAGGGAAAAGAGAATGGCAAAGGCAGTTTTTCGGAAGAGACAGGTGAGCTTCCCAGGTCGACCAATGAAGAGGAAGGAGCAGAGGAAGCAGAGCAGGAGGGAGACCAGGAGGACGTAGGTGAGATCTCTGTTGTTGGCCTTGACAATTGGTGTGTTGTGATTTTTACGGAAAATCACCAGAACTGCCAATGTGATCACAGAGAGAGAAAGAGCGAGAGAAACTAAAATGTATCCTAGGGTGTCTTGATAGGCAAGGAAGTGGATCTTCTTGGCAATGCAGTGGTCCTTGTCCTTGTTGGGATATTTGTTTTCTGGGCAGGGGTCACAGTGAGCTGCATCTGAAATCAAAAGTCAGAGTGAATTTCTTGGTGAATCAACAAGGGCAAATCATCCATCCATACTGATGATTCTTGGAATAGCCAGAAAAAAATGGATCTGTTCTCTGGCTCAACATCTCTTCTTTATACTTCAAATCCACTCATTCAAACTTTTTTTTTTTTTGCAGGAAAGGTTTAGCAGACATAGGTAGACAGATCTGCTCTGTCTCTAACAGGTCTACAAATTACCTGGGAGATCGAGTGTTGTGATAGAAGAGGCAGGTTTTTGATAAAAATTAAAGCTTGAATCTCATACCCCATTTCTTCACAAAATATTTTCTCTTGGGAACCAAGGACATCCTCACACCTGGTCATAGGAAGGTGGAGTGATGCCGACAGGCAACCAGACAGCACCTTGATTGGACCATGTGACTGATTGTTTTGAGAAAGTGACAAACTTTTACTTTTAATTAGGTGAAAACCGCGGGAATCTTCAGAGTCGGTTTTCACCAGATCTGTTCCAATATGATATATCCAATAAAGCTATTCTTTGAGGAATCTCCCTGCCTCGGAATTTTGCTTGATATGGGTCTATTACTTGGAACCCTGACACCAACCTATATTAAATTTCTGAGGACCAAGAAAAGTGGCCTGTGGGGTAGTACAGATTAGCTTCATGAATTGAGAGGGTCTGCTGAAAAGGAATATGAATATATTGAATCATATAAATCCTACCAAGCTGATGCCAAAATTAACACTTTTCCATTGAATGGTTTCCTTGATCCTGGGAGATCAACATTTGAATGTGCTACCTCTCTCATTAGAAATGGTTCCTTCTGGACAAGGATCACATTGATAGCAGCAAACTGGCTTGCCCTCTGGAACGCTTCTCCTCTCTCCTGCCTGGCATCTCTTCATGCCACACCTGGCAAAGGGCACCTTCTAAAAAAGAGAAAAGAGATATTGCAGGTGGCTCAGCAAAGATTATTCTTCATTTATTCATTTGTACATTGCTCTTTCCATCTTTAGAATGTCTTCAAAAGAAATGGTTTACCAGAAACCAGGATAAGCCAATGCAATCCTGACCCACCAATGGATGCTGGAGATTGGAACTGGGACCTCAAAATGCGAAGGAAGGCTTGTGACATGGAGCTAAACTTTTTCTAAAAGAGAGACTCATGAGGATCCATCTGAATGGGAATGGTCCATGGAAATCATTCCTGCCTGTTTAAGCAAATCTTCCCAATCTTACCTCATATTGAAGTCAAATCTCAAATGTGTTAATAGAATGTTTTTTCATCAAATTCGTGAATTTTACTGTTTCCCAGTTAAGAAGGTGCTGTGCATCCCCTGGAGTGAATAAATCCTGAATTTATAATGTTTCCTTCCACCTCACCTTTGTGGCCCAGATGATTTCATTGGAGTTAATGGTGAAATCTTGTCCCAGGGAAGCCGTGGAATCCATTTGCCCAACTTTCATGGGGACAAAAGATTGATTGGGGAGGAAAAGCCAGTTGAGAAGGTCATAACGAGTAGACACCAATCCACTTTCTGAGAAGGAGACTTCCTCTCCAGCACTGTTGTTGAACTTGATGTTCCTCAGATAGGGGAGAATCTGGAAAAAAAAGACACCTGGAATAATTGGCTGAACACCACACATAGGACATCCTGGTTTCTTTCATAATGTGATGGCCATCAGCCTAGGAGATGGGTTTATATCTGAGAAGCTAAATGAGTTTCCTTGATGGAGATCTAAGCAATCAGAAGTAACATCAAATATTCAACTTCAATGACAACACATTTTCTTTATCATTGGACATTAATATCATGGGTTCTTCAAGTCCAGTCTTACAAAAATGATAGCTACATACAAACATTTTAATGCCATATTCTAAATTTCATTGTGTAGTTTTGCCTTGTAATACTTGGCAAGCTGCATTTTTAATTTTATTTGAGTCCATGACAAATGCATTTTAGGAATGATTAATTAAATTGAAGGGGTCCTTTATGCTCTCTGAGCATGGTTGTTTTCTTGCATGATCTAAACTAGGTAACATTGATAGTGATATCACTCCCTTCTAGCACTCATGATGCTACCTAGTTGGGTCATGAAATGTCTGCAAGAAAACAACTAAATTCAAAGAGAACCAAGACCCCTCATTTCAATCCTGAGCTAGAATATTCTCCTTTATTGGTAAATACTCTCTATCATAACTTTCCAAGCTAGACTTTCTCTAACTGATAGTCAAAGAGAGCAGAACAAAGAAGTAGGTCTGACCAAGTGGGGACCATGTAAAAGGTTTGTCACTTCACTGTCTAGAGATGAATAATTCAGCCTTTGATGTTGAAAAATCTGATGAATTTCAGATCAGGAATCCATTAGGACCAAGTTGAGTTCTTCTGCATATGCTGAAGTTGACAGAGACTTAACCCAACAAATAAGGCAGTACAAGAAACGGCATACTAAAAAAAATGGAGTGGACTCAGAAATAATTCTAAGCCATAATAACCAACATTAATATGAACTGAGTGTCTTTTTACAGATTGGATTCAGGCTACCTACTGAGAGAAAAAAGAGGAGGATCTACCATGCTGACTAGGACTTCAACTGACCTGTCGAAGCATCTTCCACAAATGCACTCAGATTAGGACCATGTTGGGTTCTTCTGCATATGCTGAGGTTGACAGAAGCTTAACTCAACAAACAAAGCAGTAGAAGAAATGGCACACTCTCAGGCAACCACTGATGTCCTTCCAGGAACTTCTAGGAAGCTCTTTGCTCTTAGGAACAATCAGTTTATTTAATTCTCTTTTTCCGCCATCTATCCCTTTTCAACAAAAACCTCTCACTTAATTCAAATGACAGTTTTCAATAATTGCTATCTTAATCTCTTTTTAGATACATTTTACATACGGATCAAGAAATGCATAGAGATAGTTTTCTACCTAGACAACTACCTATCATTTATCTGATCTGTGGATCAAATAAAAAGTCACTGGGATTACCTGCCATGACTGAATATTTGAGATCCTCTTTCTAAGCTTCATCATGGTTGGTTGTGCTCCAGATCCATGCATTGCATGTAATGCGTGTGCCACAGCATAAATGGCATTGTAGATATTGTAACTTTCACCTTCCATGCTTGTTTCAAAAATGTAAGAAGGTAAATTTTGTAAATTCTCCCTTCCTGTACATTGTTTTTTCCCCTTTGGAAAAATCCTGCCTGGATTGTCCATCATGCAGCCAAACAACCTTTCCCAACATAGCGGGAGAAAGATGTCCCCTTGTGGCTTCAAGGGGTCTAAAGACAGGAGGAAAGGACTGAATTCTGAGACATCCCCAGTGTGGGGCCGAAAATGCAAAGCCCCATGGAAGGGCTTTACTACTTTCGATACATCTTGATTCCTCACCACACTAAGTTTCCAATGGGAAGTTAAGATCCAAACTTTCCGAAATGATGTCTTTCTCAAATGTTCATAGATACTTATTGCTACCTGTACATTTTTAATACTATTGGGATCTCCAAATAGAACAATCACTTCAGCTTTAGACCAAGTCTCCGAAATTTGCAGTATTTTCAACATTGGAGTAGTTAGAAAATTCAGTTTCAACTTTTCAGTGAAGGCCAGGCAGATCTCCTTCTCCTGGAGCATTGGCATTAGGGATGAGATGAAACCTTCTCCCCTGTCATCTTCAGAGGCCAGAAGCCCAACCCAGTTCCACTGGAAATACAGGAGCAGCTGGACTAAACCCACATACTGAGGAGATTCCTTGGGATTAATCCAGAAGAATGAAGGATAAACTCTTCTCTCTCCCTGAGAGAACTCAAAGCCAACACCTAGCTGAAGAAAGTGAGATTCTTGATAGAGTAAATTTTATGGGTCACCATTATGTGGATTGTTGCCCCACCTGGCTCACTTTGAGTGATAAGCTTAATTTTCTTGCCTTCTTAGGAAATTTCAAATCTTTATTGTCAGTGCACAAGATATGTACAATGAGATTGGTTGAGCTCCCTCAGTACACTCCCACCAACACAATACAACTCACAGTGAAGACAGAAAATCCCTGACCCAATAAATCATATTAACAAAGTACCCAGTCCTATTGCACCAGTGTGAACATGTTACACATTGGGCCAGCCCTGCATTCCATCATTCTATGTAATTATGATGTTAAATTAGGAAGAATGATTACATATTAGGAAGAAGAGTTTATGTATTTTGCCTGGTATTGATGTGTGAAAAGCCAAGGGAATCTCAAATTAATACAGAGAATATACTAACTACACTACTTTTATGAAGAATAGATTAGGAAAGAATTCCTCTTGACAAATACTACATTTCAATATAGCTCATTATCTATCACTTTTGACTTCTATAAAAAGACACAAAATATAAATATAGGTCCCCGCAAACCCCTTTTCCACCTTTAGCTGCACTGTGTGTTATTTGTCTACCACATACTCTATCCAATGAGGCCCTCTTACCTGTGGGACCTTGAAGGTGCTGAAGATGGAGGCCATCTGCCTTGAGGATCTGGGGTTGAGATCTCCGATGACAGAGAGCAGAGGATGCTGCCTGTCACATTTGTAATCTGGAACCATTCGTCCTCTTGTGGAGAGAAGGGAGAGGCTGATTATGGAAATCTCCTTCTGAGTCTGAGAATTGCTATAGATGTGGAAGCCAAGGGTGATGTTGGGGAGGAGAACCAGATCCTTGTTGACCTCTGTGACTGCAAATACCAATGCTACGTACTGCTGGTAGCTCTTGGGTAGGACTCTATAGTGAGACAATCATCAGGGAAATTTTAAGGAAAGCTTGTGTGGAGTAGGTCATGTCATTTTTAAAAACACCCTTTGCAGCAGGAACTCCCAAATTCCTTTGGGTTTTTTTCATTGTTAAGGCTGTTCCTTGATTAATGGCCTTGACAGCAAGGAGAAAATCCTGTTTATCCATATCACAGATCATTTTATACTCCTCCATCAGCCCTCCCTTCTTCAGATTGCTCCAATGAGTATAGTTCTTCCCAATTGCTTCTCTTCCACCCTCATTAATTTTCTTCCCTCTTGAAGCAGCTTCTTCAGGTCTGGAAACCATTGCTGAATCCAATGCAGATGGATTTTTTACAACTCCTTGACACTGTAAATGGGTTGATCTCATCTTTGAGTTTAGTATCAGGGGTAAGTCAACTTCTTCACTAGGCACAGTTTCTAAGGTGTTGTCCTTCCTCACTTTTTTGGGTGGTTTATTAGCTTCCTGATTGAGAGTCCTGGAAAGACTGAGAATTCTGATCTATTTTATGAGTTTGGTTCTTTATTGAGAAAAGCACAAAGATCTGAACTACGCTAGGGCATTGCAAACATCACTAGAACAGATATTTCTGAAAAGAGTTCTTGAACAAACCAAATAATTATTTACATGTTTCCCCTTTAAATGAAACTTACAAAATATCATCCAGAAATGAAGATGGGACTTCTTTAAAGTATTGGAAGTTGAATTTATGTATAGTTCCCATGGGAAAATTTGCACCAATAATAACATCACCAGGCCTGTAAAAGTCTCTCGTAGTGTGTAAAGTGTTTGTCAACACACATCCAGTTTGCATCTTCTTAACAGAAGTTGGAGGAAGGAGCCAGAAGAGCAGCAGCAGGAGGAGGAGAGGCAGCCCAGTCATTCTTCTCACCTTTCCTCCTGGATCAAAAATCAAAAGGTTGTTTTGTGTGTGCAGAGGTTGAATTGCAGGGAGTCCTTGAAAACTCAGCAGAGCTTTAGCACAAGAGAGATAGTCTGTTCCACCTTGATGGCCTCAAGGCAAATTTATATCAACTTCCTCTTACCTGTGTATGGTCTGTGACCAAAGAGGAAACTAAGGCTAGCTGAGTCTCACCAAACTGTGAAGTTGCCTCTTCACAACACAAAGCAAGATGACATGTTCTGCCTCCACTGGGAGAACTCCGAGTAAGTAATTTAAAGCAGGTTTTAACTTGGAAGATCTTCATGGGTAGAAATCCATAGGGGATACATTAGAAATTATTGTTCTTCTGATAATTGCATGGAAAAGCAATTTTCCTCTTTACTGAGCAATACACCAGATAGAGAAAAATGAGTTTGGGTCTCCTATTGTTAATCCACAGATAAGATGCACTTGACAATCAAGGTGGAATTGTGTATTTGAGTTATGTGAAACTGAGCATGTGCATTCAAGATGGAGTTTGGCCTCTTCCATAGATTGTTTGGATAGTATAAGTGTTCACACCACATAACATAGCCAGCAAGAATGGCCTTGAATCCCGGCCTTAGTTGCAAAGCTGCAATGTAATATTTATTATTTATTTATTTATTATTCCTATTTCTATGCCGCCCACTCTCCGAGGACTCTGGGCGGCTTACACCAAAGACAGTATACTAAATAGCATATTGCCCCCAAAAATCTGGGTCTTCATTTTACCCACCTCGGAAGGATGAAAGGCTGAGTCAACCTTGAGCCGGTGAGATTTGATCTGCTGATCTGCTGAACTAGCAGTCAGCTGAAGTAGCTGCAGTACTGCACCCTAACCACTGCGCCACCTCGGCTCTTAATATCCCCCCTGATCCCTCCCCCTTTTCTATGGCAGCTATCAGCAGACTAGTTGACACCATATATACTCCAAACTCCTGATAGTGAACATGTTTAAAACACTAACATGTTAAAAATTTTCAATTAAAAGAAACAAAATGAGAATATGTCCTTCTTGAAATTATAAACAACTTTAACACCAGGGTTTATTTCCGTACAAGACACTAGACCTCAGTGGCGATAACTGGAAGACATGGAAAACAAAAGGCTGGGTAATTGTTGTGGAGAAGAGGTATATTGTGACTAGACACAGCATTTGATGAATAATTATAAATTGGACAAATCTCTCAATTCATGATAGTTTAGAAATGTTCCAAATACGTTTCAGACAGAAAAATATAAATGTGGCCTATTCCTGCATTAGTTAGAGATGTTTGTTTCTTATCATATTTTCCCTACAATTAAGATGGGGCCTCAGTAGAATAATGTAGCATTTGGGGAAAAAGATACAAGCCAAGAGACCAGCCCCAGAGGCCAAGATGGAAAAGATCTCCACGGCCACCATGGACTTTCCCTTGGTGCTCAGGTAGGTGGGGAGGAAAGTGATCCAAACACTGCAAAAGACCGGCATGCTAAAAGTAATGAACTTGGCTTCATTAAAACTATCAGGCAATTTCCTGGCCATAAAGGCCACAGTGAAACTAATGAGTGCCAGAATACCCAGGTAGGCAAGGACAGTGTAAAACATGGAAGCTGAGCCTTCATTACATTCCAAGATGATCTCTCCAAACAAGGAGTGGAAGTCCAAGTTGAGAAATGGGGGTGACTTTGCCAGCCAGGTGGCACAAAGAACTACTTGGACCAGGGGACAGCCTAAGACAATGGAGTTGGTCAGTGGCTTTCCCAAGAGTTTCCTTGTCTTGTTCCCTGGCTTGGTAGCCATGAAGGCAAGAACCACCATGACAGTTTTTGCCAAGACAGAGGAAACTGCAACGGAAAAGACAATGGCAAAGGCAGTTTGTCGGAAGAGACAGGTGAGCTTCCCGGGTTGACCAATGAAGAGGAAGGAGCAGAGAAAGCAGAACAGGAGGGAGACCAGGAGGATGTAAGTGAGATCTCGGTTGTTGGCCTTGACAATTGGAGTGTCACGGTGTTTAAGGAAAATTGTCAGGACTGCCAATGTGATCATAGAGATAAAAAAAGTGAGAGAAACCAAAATGTATCCCAGGGTTTCTTGATAGGCAAGGAAGTGGATCTTCTTGGCAATGCATTGGTCCTTGTCCTTGTTGGGGTATTGGTCTTCTGGGCAGGGGTCACAGTGAGCTGCATCTGAAATCAAGAGTCTTTGTCTAAGTATTTCTGCGCTACCTGCCATGAGAAAAATCCCTGTCCCACATAATATTTCAGTCATGACTCCTTTCTGCAGAGAGCACCTCAAAATAAGATTAACAGAAGGACCCATGGCATTATTTATTTATTTATTTATTTTATTAAATTTTTATACTGCCCTTCTCCCAGAGGACTCAGGGTGGTGTACAGCCAGAGATAAAACCCACAGCAATATAAAAGTTAAAAGACAAATTAAAAATACTAAATAATTTGGCCAAAAAAGCTAAAATAAAGACAACCCATTGAAATAGCATTAGGCCAGCCCTGCTTGGTGAAACAATAGCGTTTTGAGTGCGCGGCGAAAGGTGCGAAGGTCAGGAATCTTACGAATCTCCAGGGGCAGCTCATTCCAGAGGGCAGGTGTCTCCACAGAAAAGGCTCTCCTCCTGGGGGTCACCAGTCGACATTGTTTGACCAACGGCACCCTGAGGAGTCTCTCTCTGTGGGAGCATACTGGTCGATGGAGGCTATCGGTGGCAGAAGGCGGTCTTGTAAGTACCGGGGTCCTAAGCCATGGAGCGCTTTAAAGGTGGCGACCAACACCTTTAATCGCATCCTGAAGACCACCACCAAGATCCAGTGCAGCTCACGCAGGAGCGGTGTTACATGGGAGCATCGAGTCGTTCCCATAATCACCCGCGCGGCTGCATTCTGGACCAGTTGGAGCCTCCGGGTGCTCTTCAAGGGGAGCCCCATGTAGAGAGCGTTACAGTAGTCCAGACAGGAGGTGACGAGGGCGTGAGTGACCGGGCGCAAGGAGTCCCGGTCCAGAAATGGTTTATGGGGCACTAGAAATTGCAGATCTTCTTTACTTCAAGATGAACCAGAGAATGAGTTGCTCAAAGACAGGAATCTGTTGAGTATCAAGGGCCTTATAAGTAGGCTATGAAGATGTGGGTTAGAGTTTTTCACTTTATATTAGATTATCAATAGATTTGCTACCATAAATCCTGCTATTTGATGTCTGTCTACATCTGTTTTTTACAATCTCAATAACTTTCAGATATCTGGAGTTTAATTCCTAAAATCCTTGCTAGCTGGGGAATTCTGGGATTTGAAATCCATGCATATGAAATTCGCTGAGGTTCAGAAACACTGAAATACATTATCTACTAACCAGGATGACTGAAAATCTCAATAGACACTATTTACTTTGTATTTGCTAAGAACATCATAACAAGGGAGGCACATGGACATAAATGTGGAATGGGAAGTGCTGATCACAAACGATTCTCAGGAAAAATTGGTTTTAGGAGGGAGAAAGGAAAGAAAGATCCAGAGGCCCAATATAAATGAGAATTGTGTGTCTTGAATTCTAAGCTTTCTATTTCAAGTTAAGTTCTTCCCATCACTCAGTCAGATTTTTCTTGTGGGGGTGTCAGGGAATTGTTAGCAGAGATTAATCTTTCCTTTCTCCAAAAGTCTACCAATTTATTTGGGAAATCTTAGTTCTCAGTACTAAAGGAAGAAAATTAGAAATCATAAATAACACAGTAAGCCACTCGTTCAGGATAGCAATCAGGAGATTTCTCATTGGTTTCTGATATTGGATGGGAGTAGAATGGTGATCAGGGATTGACCAATTCCTGCCCTGGAAATATTGTGCATTCGGTGGTGGGTGGACAGGACTGCCCAATCCTTGTTCCTCATGAGTGGGGACCTGATACTATGGGGGGGGGGTGCATGACAATTTTGGTCTGTATCCTAAAGATTTCTTGTGAAAAAAAAATGAGTATTGGTAACCTGTCCACCCTACCAAAAAGTGACAAAGACAATTTGGGAAGATCTATGACGGAAGGGAGCATCTGAAGATTGCTCTATGTATTTACTTTATTTTATTATTTTATTATTTTATTATTTATCATAGTCTCATAAGAAGGAGAGGGGTGTGGTAGCCTAGAAGTGGAGCTCTCGCCTCACAATCAGGAGGCTGTGAGTTCGATCCTAGGTAGAGGCAGATATTTCTCTCTCTCTGGGCACAATGAGAATATATCTGCTGAACAAAACTCTGGATTGGTGACAGGAAAGGCATCTGGCCATTAAAACACTCTGCTAGCTCCATTCAGTTGCCAGACTCTGTCCCGCAAGGGATTATGGGGTCATTAAATGATGATGATGATCATATTCTCATAAGAGTGCGACTGGATGGCATATAACAAGTAATTAAAAAAGAAAGAAATACATATGCACTAAAACATCTAATAATAGATGTTTGCCCAGGTTCGCCTTGTGCGACAGTTGCGCCCTTACTTGGACCAAGATGCCCTACGCACCATTACTCATGAGCTGGTCACCTCCCGTCTTGACTACTGCAACACTCTCTACCGAGGGCTGCCCTTGAAGACCACTCAAAGGCTTCAGCTGGTGCAGAATGCGGCTGCGTGGGTTGTGATGGGAACGTCCTGACACTCCCATGTTACACCCCTCCTGCGCGGTTTGCATTGGCAACCGGTTGCCCTTCGGGTGAGGTTCAAGGTGCTGGTTATCACCTATAAAGCCCTTCATGGCCTAGGCCCGGGATACCTGTCGGACCCCCTGCAGCCAGCGGCAATCCCCAATCGCCCGGTGCATTCCGACGGACAGGGTCTCCTCAGGGTGCCGTCAGCCAGACAGTGTCGGCTGGTGACCCCCAGGAGGAGAGCTTTCTCTGTGGGCGCACCCACCCTCTGGAACCAATTTCCGTTGGAGCTCCGGATGGCCCCTGACCTTCGCTCGTTCTGCCGCGAGTTGAAGACCTGGTTGTTCCGCAGCCTGGACTGATGGTGGGAGGGGGGTTAATCAATTTTAAACTGTTTTAAACTGGGTTTTAACTTTATATCGTTTTAATAGGAATTATGCATTTTACGGTTGTGAGCCACCCTGAGTCCTTGGAGATAGGGTGGCATATAAATTGCATAAATATAAATATAAAAATATAATAAATGTTGTTTTAAAAAACTATAAAACGCCATAATGTTCACTGCAGTCAGGATCTCCAAGCCGATAGTCATAGTTTCTTTATCCCAGGAAGATCTACAATGGAAGGAGGTTTCTCAGGTTTGTTCTACCTGTTTGATTAGAAATGGTCCCTTCTGGACAAGGGTCACATTGGTAGCAGCAAACCGGCTCACCCTCTGGAACTCTTCTCCTCTCTCCTGCCTGGCACCTCTTCATGCCACACCTGGCAAAGGGCACCTTCTAAAAGAGAAAAGAGAAATGTATGCAATGACCTAGGTGATGAACATTCTTCATCAGTTCATTTCCACATTCCTATTTCTATCTTCAGAATGACTTACAGAATACAGAATAATAGAGTTGAAAGGGACCGTGGAAGTCTTCCTGTCCACCCTCCCACTCAAGCAGGAGACCCTATACCTGTGATGGCGAACCTATGGCATGGGTGCTACAGGTGGCACGCGGAGCCATATTGGTGGGCATGCGAGTGTTGCCCTAGCTCAGCTCCAGTGCGCATGTGCGCACCGGCCAACTGATTTCCAGGCCTTCTGGTCCCACCGGAAGATGGGAAACTGGCTGTTTCTGGCCTCCTGAAGGCCTCCGGGGAGTTGGGGAAGGCTGTTTTCGCCCTCCCCAGGCTCCTAGAAAGCCTCTGGAGCCTGGGGAGGGGAAAACTGTCCTACTGTGCCATCGCGTGCCAAAAGCAGGGGGAAGTGGGGAGGTCACGTGCGCATGTGCAGAAGGGCGGGGCGCATTGAATTATGGATGTGGGCACACATATCTGCTCCCCCCCCTCCCCCCCCCACTTTTGGCACGCGACGGCAAACACCCTCTGAAGACAAGCTGTTCCACTGGTTAATTCTTCTCACGATTAGGAAATTTTTCCTTAATTCCAAATTGCTTGTCTCCTTGATTAGTTTCCATGCATTGTTTCTTGTTTTGCCTTCTGGTGCTTTAGAAATTGAGTTGACTCCCTCTTCTTTGTGGCAGCCCCTCAAATACTGGCATAACACTATAGTCTAATCTATCTTTTCTCTAGACTAGACTCCTGCAACCGTTCTTCATATGTTTTACTTTCCAGTCCCTTAATCATCTTAGTTGCTCTCCTACATACTCTTTGTTGGATCGAGGCCCATATGTCAAGATTTTTTTGGATCCTGAGCTTGTCTTCTGGAGTGGTGACTATTCCTGCCAGCTTAGTGTCATCTGCAAATTTGATGAATTCCCCTTCTATTCCCTCATCTAAGTCATTTATGAAGATATGGAAGAGTAATGAGCCTAAAATGGAACCTTGTAGTACCCCACTGCTTACTTCCCTCTGTGTAGATGTAGTACCATTAAGTAGTTGAGTGTGGTTTATTAGCCAGATACAAATCCATCTGGTGGTGATTCTATCTCACATTTTTCTAGTTGCCTAGAATTAGGTTGTAGTCTACTTTGTTAATTGCCTTGCTGAAATCCAAATATACCAGGGGTGAAATGCTCCTGGTTCAGACCAGATCACCTGATCTGGTAGTGATGGTGGCAGGTGGTTCGGAGAACCGGTAGCAAAAATCCCTGCCCCCCCCTCCATGCCCAGCTGAGCAGCGCAATCATCAGAGGCTTTTTTTTAAAAAAAAAAAATTAAAAGTATTTTTTCTACAACCTCTTCGGCCAAAAAAATACTTTTTGAGGAAAAAGCCTCTGATGATCAGGCAACTCAGCTGGGATCACCGAGGCTTTTAAAAGCATTTTTTAAACAACCTCTTTGGCTGAAGAGGTTGTAGAAAAAATGTTTTTAAAAGAAAAAAAAGCCTCTGATGATCAGGCAATTCAGCTAGGATCATCAGAGGCTTTTAAAAGAAAAAAAAGCTTCTGACGATCAGGCAACTCAGCTGGGATCGTCAGAGGCTTTTAAAAGCATTTTTTTACAACCTCTCGAAGAGGTTGTAGAAAAAATGGTTTTAAAAGAAAAAAAAAGTTGGCCTCGCCCACCCAGTCACATTACCCCCACCACCACCAAGCCACGCCCACAGAACCAGTAGTAACAAATTTTACATTTCACCACTGGAATATACTATATCCACAGCATTTCTCTGGTCCATTGATTTATTCATTTTGTCAAAGAATGAAATAAGATTTGCTTGACATGATCTGTTTCTGACAAATCCATGTGGGGTTCTGGTTATAAGTTTACTTGCTTCTAGGTGTTGGTAGATCTTTTTTTTTTTTTCAAAAACATCAAAGGTAATATCCCAAAGGTGCCAAAAGACAACCATGACTTGGATGTCTGAGAATCTCCATAGACATTCAAATGTAATGATTAACCAGGATGTATAAGAAAGCAAGAAGTGTGTTGAGATTCTCAGTCATGCAGGTCATGGATGTCCCAATTGAGGACATTGAGGGTCAGTCTCACCCTAGTTTCACTAGTCTCAGGCCAGTGGCACTTCTCACCCACAGATAGATCCTGAACATCTCGGATGTCAGCATGCAAAGGAAGGCATCTGACATTGAGCTACAGCATTTCTAAAACAAAGAATCATTGAGGACTGAACTGAACACAAATGGTCCATGGAAATCACTTTTGCCTGCTCTAATGGCATCCTGGATTTCAAGCAGTTCTTCCCAATCCTGATGTTTCATGGATTGGCTCTCTTTTAATTCAAATTGTTGTTTGTATTTATCATTTTATTGTTTCTATGCTGTTAAGAATTGCATTATTGATGAGATGGGTGACATATAAATATATATATATATATATATAAAATAAGGGGACCGGCAGTCAGAAGGATGTTGGGCATCTCCAGAAGAGAATGAATTTATCCCTGAAGTTACAGTATTTCCTTCCAGCTCACCTCTGTGGCCCAAAATATTGCATTGGAGTTAATGGTTAAATCCTGGCCTGGGGGAGCCCCGGGATTTATCTGTCCAACTTTCATGGGAATGAACGATTGATTGGGGAGGAAAACCCAGTTGAGAAGATCGTAACGAGGAGATCCCAGTCCATTTTCTGAGAAGGAGACTTCATCTTCAACAGTGTTGTTGAACTGGACATTCCTCAAATAGGGAAGAAGCTGAAAGAAAAGAGACCTTCAAAAATTGGAGTCCTTAGCTGAAAGCTATGAAAGACATCATGGCTTCGATCATTCTGTGAGGGTCGTCATCTTAAAAGTTAGCAGTATGTCTGAAAAGCTAGAGGAGTTTTCTTGGTGGAGACCTGAGCAATCAGGAATAACACCAAATATTTGACTTCTTTCTCAAGACGACAAAAGGTTCCTTTCATTTTGGGGAATTTATGTCATGCCTATTTCAATTCCAGGTTTATGAGAATGATACCTACTGGTATCTACAAAAAAATTGCATGCCACCTACGAAATTTCATTGTATAGCTCTGCTCTTTTATTACTTGACTATATACATTTTAAATGTTTTCTTCAGCCCAAAGTGATAAAAATAACAAATACTTAGCACTTAAAACTTATACACTGCTCCACAGTACTTTATAGCCCTCTCTAAGTGGTTTACAGAGTCAGCCTCTTGCCCCCAACAATTTGGGTCTTCATTTTACCCACCTAGGAAGGATGGAAGGTTGAGTCAACCTGAAGGCTGAAATACATTTCCTTCAGGTAAGAAGCCACTTTGGTCCATATGGATAAATTCATTTAATAGTCTCTCTTCGCCATTATTGAATGGCGAATAGGTTAAAGAGACTATTAAATGAATTTATCCATATGGACCAAAAAGGCTGAAATACATTTGAAGAATTATTAAATTATTTCTATCACAATACTGTATAATTCCACTGACTTCAGTGGAAGCAGAATAGAATAGAATAGAATAGAATAGAATAGAGTAGAGTAGAGTAGAGTAGAGTAGAGTAGAGTAGAGTAGAGTAGAGTAGAGTAGAATAGAATAGAATAGAATAGAATAGAATAGAATAGAATAGAATAGAATAGAATAAACTGGAAGGAATCCTGGAGGTCTTCTAATCCAACTCCCTGCCTAAGCAGGAAACCCCACACCATTTCAGACAAATGGTTATCCAACCTCTTCTTAAAAATTCCCAGTGTTGGAGCATTTACAACTTCTGGTGGCAAGTTGTTCCATTGATTAATTGTTTTCACTATCGGGAGATTTCTCCTTAGTTCTAAATTGCTTCTCTCTTTGATTAGTTTCCACCCATTGCTTCTTGTCCTACCCTCAGGTGCTTTGGAGAATAGCTTGACTTCCTCTTCTTTGTGGCAGCCCCTGAGATGCCGGAAGACTGCTATCATGTCTCCCCTAGTCCTTCTTTTCATCAAACTAGACATACCCAATTCCAGCAACCGTTCTTTATATGTTTTAGCCTCCAGTCCCCTAATCCTCTTTGTTGCTCTTCTCTGCACTCTTTCTAGAGTCTCCACATCTTTTATATATTGTGGCGACCAAAACTGGATGCAGGATTCCAAGTGTGGCCTTCCCAAGGCCTTATAAAGTAGTATTAACACTTCACGTGATCTTGATTCTATCCCTCTGTTTATGGAGGAACCAGGTTTGAACCAATGTGTTCATATGGAAAGAATAACCTGTCCTGGTTTGTCACTTCGCTACCCAGGAAAGTCCAACATTTATCCACTGATGCAGAAAAAAATCTGATCTATTTCAGACCAGAAACCCATTAGGATCAGATCACTTGGAGTCCTGCTCTGTGTTCTGAAGCTTACAGAGGCTGCTTTTACACAACACGCTGAACTGTATAACAAATGGCAAATGAAATAGATGGAGTAGGGTCAGGTAGGACATTTTTTTAAAAAAAAATGATTTATATGCCGCCCTTCTCCAGAGACTCAGGGCGGTTTACAATGCGTTAAGCAATAGCCTTCATCCTTTTGTATATTTATACAAAGTCAGCTTATTGCCCCCACAAACTGGGTCCTCATTTTACCTACCTTAGAAAGGATGGAAGGCTGAGTCAACTTTGAGCCTTGGCGAGATTCGAACTTACTTTAATTGCAGACAGTTGGTGTTAAATTACAGTGCTTTAGTCTGCAGAGCTATCCAGGCTCTGGATGACTATGACATTAAGCCATAGAAACACAGAAAGAGTTACCATGGGGTAAGATGGGCAGTGTATAAATTTTACGCATTAATAAACATTAGACTAGATTAACAGAGTTGGAAGGGACCTTGTAGGTCATCTAGTCCAACCCCTCGCCCAAGGGACCTTACACCATTTCCAACAAATGGCAGTCCAATCCCTTCCTGAAATCCTCCAGTGATGACGCTCCCACAACTTCTGGAGGAAAGCCGTTCCACTGATTTACTGTTCTTAATGTCAGGAATAATAGAAGAACAGAGTTGGAAGGGACCTTGGAGGTCTTCTAGTCCAACCCTCTGCTCAAGTAGGAGACCCTATGCCATTTTAGACAAGTGGTTGTCCAATATCTTCATAAAAACCTCTATCATGTCTCCCCTGGTCCTTCTCTTCACTAGACTAGTGAAGAGACAATTCTATAATCTATTTATTGTATGTTTTAGCCTCCAGTCCCCTAATCCTCTTTGTTGCTCTTCTCTGCACTCTTTCTAGAGTCTCAACATCTTTTTTATAGTATGGTGACCAAAACTGGATGCAGTACTCTAGGTGTGGCCTTACTAAGGCTTTATAGAGTGGTCTTAGTACCTCCCTTGATCTTGATTGTAAGGTTAAAATGAATAGATTGTCTCTTTATAGCTTGGATTCAGGGTACCTGGTGACTGAAACTGAGATAGTTCTGCATGAATTTTGACTAGGATTTCAACTGATTTGCATAAATATCATTCATAAAAATATCCCGATTGCCATCTTGTTCTGGGCTGAAACCTCCTTCCTGAAATGGCCACTTCCTGAAACATTTTTTGAAGACCTTATAGGAAGTTGTTTTCTTTATGGATCTTACGGGCATCTTTACTTCTCTTTCCTCCCTCTGTTCCTTCTCAACAAATACTTATATATACAATTCATTTTCTTAATAAATGCTGTTTTAACCTGCATTCAAATTCATTGATATGGTAGCATGCGGACACCCTTTCTTTGAACTATTACCATCTGGCAGACGGTACAGGACAATAAAAACAAGGACAAATAGGCTGAAAAACAGCTTCTATCCCAGGGCAGTAACTATATTGAACTCTACTGTATAGTGCAATATTAGCGCAGTATCAGGGGTTTTCAATTCAGTTGTATAGACTATGAAGAATGTGTGTTTGTGTTTTATTTTTATAGTTATAATGTGCACTGAAGATGGCATTTAATTTCATTGTACGAGGTGCAATGACAATAAAGAAAACTAAACTAAACTCTAAGGATTTGTGGATTGACTAAAAAGTTCCAGAGATTACCTGCCACGCCTGGATGTTTGAGATCCTCTTTCCAAGCCTCATCATGGTTCTTTGTGCTCCTGATCCATGCATTGCATGTAATGCATGTGCCACAGCATAAACAGCATTGTAGATATTGTAACTTTCACCCGTCATGCTTGTTTCAAATACGTATGATGGCAGATTCTTTACTTTCTCTTTTTCCGTACATTGTTTTTTCCACATTTTAGAGATCATTCCTGGTTTGTAAATTTGGCATTTAAAGATTTCTTCCCACCATAGCGGGAGGAAGTCATCTCCTTCTGGCTTCAAAAGGTCTAAAGACAGGAGAAAATGTCTGAATTCTGAGACATCCCTAGTGTGGTCCCTAAAATGCAAAGCCCCATGGAAGTACTTTCTAAATGGCAATACATCTTGAGATCCCACTATGCTAAGATCACAAAAGGAAGGCAGGATCCAAACTTTCCAAAATGATTTAGATTTCCTATAATGAAATAGAGCGAACCCTACCAATGTCATAGTAGTGGAGTCTCCAAACAGGATAATCACTTCAACTTCAAGCAAAATCTGGATAATAAATTGTAATCCCAACACATTAATAGCAGAATTTAATATTTCAGGGAAGGCCAGGCAGATCTCCTTCTCCTTCAGCATTGGCATCAGAGATGAGATGAAAAGTTCTCCATTGTCACTTTCTGAGGCCAGAAGCCCAACCCAGTTCCACTGGAAATACAGGAGGAGCTGGACTAAAGCCATATACTCGGGAAATTTCTTGGGATTAATCCGGAAGAAGGAAGGGTGAACTGATCTGTATTCCAGAGGGATCTCAAAACCAACACTGAGCTGGAGAAAATGATAATTATTTTTTTTTTTAAAGCAAAGGCTTGAAAGAGACATAATGGTTCAGTGTTTAGAATGCAGGACTGCAAGACTGCTACCAGCAGTTTGATTCTCACTGGCTCAAGGTTGACTCAGCCTTCCCGCTTCTGACGTCGATAAAATGAATACTGAGATTCTTGGGGGCAATATGCTGACTCTGCTTACCACTTAGAGAGGGCAGTAAAGGACTGTGAAGTGGTATATAAGTCTAAGTGCTCTTGCTAACTATCATCGATCCGTCATATCGCTCTCTATCTCACTCTATCTTCTGTCTATTAACAATATCTATCTATCTATCTATCTATCTATCTATCTATCTATCTATCTATCTAATCTCTCTCCATCTTCTATCTATCTCTTCTGTCACTTCCCCGCTGCACTGAAAGAGGAGGTGGTGAGGCCTCTCCTCAAGAAGCCGTCCCTGGATCCAGCAATATTGGCCAACTATCATCCTGTTTCCAACCTTCGCTTCATTGCGAAGGTTGTTGAGAGTGTGGTCGCGCAACAGTTTCCGCAACTCCTGGAGGAAACATCCTATCTAGATCCATTCCAGTCGAGTTTCAGGTCTGGGCACAGCACGGAAACGGCATTGGTCGCGTTGGTGGATGATCTCTGGAGGGTTCGGGACAGGGGTTATTCCTCTGTTCTGGTCCTATTAGATCTCTCAGCGGCTTTTGATACCATCGGCCATGGTATCATGCTGCACCGGCTGGAGGAGTTGGGGGTGGGAGGCACTGTGTTGCAGTGGTTCTCCTCCTTTCTCTCCGACCGGTCGCAGTTTGTGTTGGCAGGGGGGCAGAGGTCGACCTCGAGGCCTCTCATCTGTAGAGTGCCGCAGGCATCGGTCCTCTCGCCCCTTCTGTTCAACATTTATGTGAAGCCGCTGGGTGAGATCATCCGTGGCTTTGGGGTGAGATACCACCAGTACGCTGATGACACCCAGCTGTACATCTCCACCCCAGGCCACCCCAACGATGCCCTTGAAGTGATGTCCCAGTGCCTGGAGGCTGTGCGGATCTGGATGGGGAGGAACAGGCTCAAGCTCAACCCTTCCAAGACTGAGTGGCTGTGGCTCCCGGCATCCCGATATAGTCAGTTGACTCCATCGCTGACTATTGGGGGTGAGTCTTTGGCCCCCACTGAAAGGGCTCGCAATCTGGGAGTCCTCCTGGATAGGCAGCTGTCTTTGGAGGAACATCTAACGGCTGTTACCAGGGGGATCTTTTATCAGGTTCGCCTGATTCGCCAGTTGCGGCCCTTTCTTGATCGGGATTCCTTATGCACAGTCACTCACGCCCTCGTCACCTCTCGCCTTGACTACTGCAATGCTCTCTACATGGGGCTCCCCTTGAAGAGCACCCGGAGGCTCCAGCTGGTCCAGAATGCAGCCGCACGGGTAGTGATGGGAGCAACATGGCGCTCCCATGTAACACTGCTCCTGCGCGAGCTGCACTGGCTCCCGGTGGTCTTCCGGGTGCGCTTCAAGGTGTTGGTTATTACCTTTAAAGCGCTCCATGGCATAGGGCCTAGCTATCTCCGAGACCGCCTGCTGCTACCGACGACCTCCCATCGACCCGTGCGCTCCCACAGAGAGGGCCTCCTCAGGGTGCCATCAGCCAAACAATGTAGGCTGGTGGCCCCCAGGGGGAGGGCCTTCTCTGTGGGGGCTCCCACCCTCTGGAATCAGTTGCCCCCAGAGATAAGAAGAATCCATGACCTTAATGCCTTCCGTCGTTCCCTGAAAACCCATCTTTTTCAGCAAGCCGGGTTGGCTTAGAAGAAATTTTTAAATTCTTTTAATTAGTTTGTGATTCTTAACTTTCGGGCCAAAATTTATATATATTTTTAAATGTTTTAATATTTGTATTCTATGTTTTTTATCTTGGCTGTACACCGCCCTGAGTCCTCAGGGAGAAGGGCGGTATATAAATTGGAAATTAAATTAAATTAAATTAAATTATAATATCCGTCTGTCCGTCTGTCTGTCTGTCTATCTATCTATCTATCTATCTATCTATCTATCTATCTATCTATCTATCTATCTACCTACTCTCTTTCTCTCTTTCTCTCTCTCTCTTTTGTGCCCTGGTGGCACAGTGGTTAGAATACAGTACTGCTGGCTATTTCTGCTGACTGCTGGCTACCAGCAGTTCAATTCTCATCGGCTCAAGGTTGACTCAGCCTTCCATGCTTCCGAGGACCCAGTTTGTTGGGGCAATAGGCTGCCTCTGCTGACTGCTTAGAGAGGAGTCAGCAGAGTGTGTAAAGCAGTGTAAAGCACTGTGAAACAGTGTAGAAGTCTAATGCTCTTGCTAACTATCATCTATCTATCATCTATCTCTCTATCTATCTCTATCTTCTGTCTATCTACAATATCTATCTATCTATCTATCTATCTATCTATCTATCTATCTATCTAAACTCTCTTCATCTTCTATCTGTAATATTGATCTATCATCCATCTCTCTATCTATCTCTGTCTTCTGTCTATCTACAATATCTATCTATCTATCTCTATCTATCTATCTATCTATCTATCTATCTATCTATCTATCTATCTTCTATCTATCTATCATCTATCTATCTACCTACCTACCTATCATCTCTCTTCACCTTCTCTCTCTCTCTCTCTTCTGTCTATCTACAATATCTATCTATCTATCTATCTATCTATCTATCTATCTATCTATCTATCTATCTATCTATCATCTATCATCTATCTATCTATCATCTATCTATCTATCTATCTATCTATCTATCTATCTATCTATCTATCTATCTATCTATCATCTCCCTCTCTCTGTGTGACACAGAGGACAACCTTGTCTCTGTCCTTGGAGGTCTCAGCTCCAGAACTTCATACTAGATGGCAACCGTGTTTGGCAATTTCAATGTTTCTCAGGTACTTGGACACGCAACATGATGAAAGGGGGAATGCTGTAAATTCTGTCTTGTGTGGTTATAGCCAACAACTCGCAGAGCCAATTCTGTGACCAGAAGAATAGATTAGACTAGACTAGACTAGACTAGACTAGACTAGACTAGACTAGATTAGATTAGATTAGATTAGAATAACAGAGTTGGACGGGACCTTGGAGGCCTTCTAATCCAACCCCCTGCTTAGGCAGGAAACCCTACACCATTTCAGACAAATGGTTGTTCAATCTCTTCTTAAAAACTTCCAGTGTTGAAGCATTCACAACTTCTGGAGTCAAGTTGTTCCATTGATTAATTGTTCTAACTGTCAGGAAATTTCTCCTTAGTTCTAGGTTGCTTCTCTCCTTGATTAGTTTCCACCCATTGCTTCTTGTTCTACCTTCATTGGAATGATCTTCCTGTCTCAGTTTGTCTCATTGGAAAATATGCAGGCACGAGCCGGAAAAAGCCATATTTGGCCTTCACTACCTCATGTTGTATCTAGAGGAGCCCCCTTACCTGTGGGACCTTGAAGATGCTGAAGATGGAGGCTATCTGCCTTGAGGATTTGGGGATGCCACCTCCAATGACAGAGAGCAGATGGTCCTGGTTGCCACATTTATAACCTGGAAACATTTGGCCTCGTGTGGCGAGCAGGGAGAGGTTGATGAGGTAAATATTCCTCTCAGTGTCATGATTGTCATAAATCTGCAAACCAAGTGTGATGTTTGGGAGCAGAATCAGATTCCTGTTCACCTCAGTGATGGCAAACTTCAAGGACAGGAGCTGCTGGTAATTCTTGCTTAGGGGCCTAGAGTGAGAAAAATCATTGGGGAACGTTACGAAAAAAACTTCTACGTGTGGTGCAGTTTGCCTTGTCTGATTTTGCTGTTCCTTAGAGCTGCAAGTCGCATAGGTCAGCTTTTTAAAAATATAAATGAAAGACCTTGGATGGCTTTGCAAGAAAGGAGCAAAGCCTGTCTGTCCATATTGTGGACCATGCTACACCCCTCTGCCATCCTTCCCTCATCACTTTCCTCTAGTGACTGTAATCCTTCCCAGTTGCTCTTCTATAACCCAAATCAATTTGGTTGTCTCTTTGAGCAGCTTCTGTGGGCCTGCTGAACACAAAACTCTGGTGTGTGGGTGTGGGTGTGACAGCATAGATTTACTGAAGGCCATCAGTCATTGGCCGCGGCATATAAAGAAAACCTTTACAAAATGTTTTACAAGGACTGCCTTGTAATTTACGGGACCGCCTGCTACCACCAATAGCCTCCCATCGGCCAGTACGCTCCCATAGAGAGGGGCTCCTCTGGGTGCCGTCGGCCAAACAATGTCGACTGGCAGCCCCCAGGGGGAGAGCCTTCTCTGTGGGGGCACCTACTATCTGGAGCGAGCTCCCCCCGGAGATACGGAGGATCCCGGATCTGTGTACCTTCCGTCGCGCGCTCAAGACTTTCTTATTTCATCAAGCTGGCCTGACGTAAGTCTTTCCCCTTTTTAAATGGAAATTTTAAATTTGGTTTTAAATTATTGGGGTTTTAAATTTGTTCAGCCAAATTATTTAATTCGTTTTATCTTATTTTAAATTTTGTATTTATATGTTTTATTCTATGGCTGTTCACCACCCTGAGTCCTTCGGGAGTAGGGCGGTATATAAATTCAATAAAATAAATAAATAAATAAATAAATAAATAAGTGGCACTCGCCACCAGCAAGATTGGCCAAAATATATAAGAATTTGTCCCCCAATTGTAGTAAATGTAAACTCCAGGAACATACTACCACATGTGGTGGACATGTAAGGAAGCAAGGAGCTATTGGGAGAAAATCCATAAATGGCTAGAAATGATGAGCAACATATTGAGTTCAAACCAGAAACATGCCTCTTAGGTATATTGTCGGAAAGTTATGACAAAGCAACCATTTACTTACTGTTACATATATTGACAGCAGCTAGAATTATGTATGCTAAATATTGGAAAAATGTGAACACCCCACCGGATGATGACATAATTAGGAAAATTTGGGATTGTACAGAAATGGACAGATTAACTTTAAAAATTAAAGATAAAGAAGATTCGAAATATTACAGGACATGGAATATTTTTTACAAATGGATAGAGACAAGAGGTAAAAATGAGAGGGAAGTTTATGAATGTCAGTACAACAAAGATGTATAAAACTATGGATATAATATGGAAAAAATTTTAAATAAGTTAATATAAGTAGAAACTTAGTTGAAGTTTTCTTTAATTTCCTTTTTTTTTTGTATTGTTGCAATTACTGTTAACATAGTATAGTTATAGTTATTAGCATGTATGTCAAGATTTACCATTGATCTCTCTCTGGCTTTGCTTTATTTGCATTGTTATCCTGACATGACACTGTCTTTTCAATAAAATAAAATAAATTTTTTAAAAAAAGGCCATCAGTCATGAGCACTGCCGATTCCAAAACTGAGTTTTATTTTTTTTTCAGTGTCCCACACTGGAAAAGGAATGAGCTTTTATTATAGCTTTTCATCACGACTTTCTGTCCTGATTAATATTATAGGTCAACTTCTTCTCAAGGCCAGCACAGTTTCAAATCTGTCGCCCTCCTAATTTTTTATGTGGTTTATCATCTTCCTGAAGATGAGTTTCAAAAAGATCAAGAATTGTAGAGTATTTTTTTTAAAAAAATTATTGACTACATTTACATGCCCTCCATCTCACCATCAAGGTGACAATATGTTCTGAGTTTGGCTCTTTATTGTGAAAAGCACAAAGATTTGAGCTACAATGAGACTTGCAAAGATCACTACAACATTTCTGAAAGCAGACCTTGAATCTAAAACAAAGCAAACCATCATCTATATTTTCCCGCCCCAGGTGAAACTTACACCAGTGTATAAGGAATCTTGGATGGGTCTTTTTTAAAGTCTATGTCATTGACATAAAGAATGTTTGCCAGGAGCAAATCCCCACCAATCATGAAATCGCCAGGCGTGTAATAGTCTTGCTGAATCTGGAAAGTGTTTGCCAGTACACATGTGACTGGAATCCTCTTTGCAGAAGTTGGAGGCAGGAGCCAGAAGAGCAGCAGCAGAAGGAGGAGAGGCAGCCCAGTCATTCTTGTCCCCTTCCCATTTAGCTGAGAAATCAAGATTTGTGCAAAAACAGAATTGCAGGTAGCACCTGAAATCTCACCAGAGCTTTAGCAGAATAGAGCCTGCAACCTGGATAGCCTTAGGGGAAATTTATCTCAACCAAGCTTCCTCTTACATATGTTTGTGCTATGGCCGAACAGAAAATTAAGGCCAGTTGAGTCAAGCTAAACCAAGGAGTTAGCTGTTTGTAAGACAAAGTAACACAACATATCCTGCCCCAACAGGAAAACTGATGCATATTTTCTAAAGCAGGTTTTATCTTGGGAGATTTTTGTGGGTGGAAATCCACAGGGGATGCATTGAGAATTACTGTTCTTTTGATAATTGCAAGGAAAAGCAATTGTCCTATCTGTTGGGCAATATATGTTGTTTAGACACATGTTTGTCTACAGTTTCACTCCCCCCAAAACCATTGAAAAGTAGTAAGGAATTCTACAATAGCTCTGGAGACTATAGAAATGAAAATATATGCTTAAAAAACACAGATACGGAATCAAATGCTTAAAAGAACAAACATTATTACAAAGTTCAATAAAAAGTGAATAAAAGGAGAAAATGTCCTCCTTGAAATGATAAAAATATCTTCAATGTCAGCTTTATTATCATGTAGAGCACTGGGCCTCAATGGGGACAACTGGAAGACATAGGGGAAAAAATGTGGGAATTATTGTTGACAACTGCTATATTGTGACTACATGTTGGAATTGATAAGGAATTGTTTGACAAGTTCCTCCTTTGTGCTATTATTTTTTTTACAAATATTATTACATTCTAATGATGCCTCAATAAATATAAATCAGGTCCATCTCTGCATTACTTAAAGATTCTTCTTTCTTATAATATTTTCTCTACAATTCAGACTGGGCCTAAGTAGGATAATGTAGCATTTGGGGGAAAAGATACAAGCTAAGAGACCAGTCCCAGAGGCCAAGATGGAGAAGATCTCCACGGCCACCATGGACTTCCCTTTGGTGCTTAGATAAGTGGGGAGGAAGCTGATCCAAACATTGCAAAAGACCAGCATGCTAAAAGTAATTTTGCTTAATTTTGCAGCATATGCCTCTCTCTCTCTCTCCCTCCCTCTCTCTCTCCCCTCTCATCTCTCTCTCTCTCTCTCTATCAATCTATCTATCTCTCATCTCTCATCTATTTATATCTATCTATCTATCTATCTATCTATCTATCTATCTATCTATCTATCTATTTCTCATCTCTCAACTATTTATATCTATCTCTCATCTCTCATCTATTTATATCTATCTATCTCTCATCTCTCATCTATTTATATCTATCTATCTCTCATCTATTTATCTATCTATCTATCTCTCATCTATCTATCTATCTATCTATCTATCTATCATCTATCTATCTATCTATCTATCTATCTATCTATCATCTCTCATCTATTTATATCTATCTATCTCTCATCTATCATCTATTTATATCTATCTATCTATCTATCTATCTATCTATCTATCTATCTATCTATCTCAATCAATCTGGCTTGTATAGTTACAAAATGTATACATAAAACCTCCAAGACTATAACTCTCTTAAGTGAAGAGCAGGAATATCCAGGAACATCAATCTTGCAAATCTAATGGGTCATTGACTTTGCATTATTTAAAATGGGCCACAGCTATGAGGAATTTGACTTCTGAGGGGTTAAATGAAACAAAAAGATGGTTGGGAAAATTAGTTTTTAGTTTAATAGGAGTAGGCAATATACAAATTGAGAAATAAAAAAAATTGTGTTCCTGCATCTCCCTGAGGCCCATTGTAATTTTTCTCAGAACATTCCTACAGCAGCCTCTGAATCCCACGATACAAATGATTGTTTTAACTAAGGCCATTATTCTCTGTAGGTAAAATTACTTACATATTACTTTTGAATATGTATGCATGAATCATTTCCCCTTCCTTTCTTACACTATTTTCTCTTTTCTGTAATGTATAAATATCAGTGCATTTCTTTGTCCTCTGAGGGGACTTAATTATCATAAAACATAACATTTACTCTGAAGCTCTGAGATATGACATGTCACAAGGGATTGTTAGAATCATGTGTGCATAGTGATATTATCTTCTAATCCCAGCCACGAAACTCCACCACATTGATGAGGCCACACAGCAGAATTGGGTAGGAAGTTGGGAGTTTAATTTCTACCATTTAAAAAAAAAAGGAAAAAAAAGAAAAGAAATAGAAGCAAAAAATTCTACAAAGTGTCAGAAGGCTGTGGAAACAAATATATGAGACAGAAACATTGATAGGGAACCAACCTTTCAAAACATAAAAATAGTACAATTAACAGGAATACAATTAGAAAATATCCATCTTTCAATAATGAACATATCTTCAACAGCTTTCTTTCTACATAGGGCCTTGGGCCTCAGTGTGGACCCCTGGAAGAGGTGGGATGAAAGGGGTTGCATGATTGTTGCTGATAGCAGGTTTATTTATTTATTTATTTATTTATTTATTTATTTATTTATTTATTTATTCTTTAAAATTCTGTATCTGCCCAGCTCAAACAAGTGACCCTTATTATAACCAGTTATAGCACTTGATAAGGTGCTCTTTCTCTATTACCATGTTTTTAAAATGTCATAAGAAACATGCCTCAATGAAAAATTTCAATATTTCTCATGCATGCATGTTAGAAATTTTTGTTCCTTATCATATTTTCCCTACAGTTAAGGTGGGGCCTTAGCAGGATAATGAAGCTTTTTGGGAAAAAGATGCAAGCCAAGAGACCAGCCCCAGAGGCCAAGATGGAGAAGATCTCCACAGCCACCATGGACTTCCCTTTGGTGCTCAGGTAGGTGGGGAGGAAAGTGATCCAAACACTGCAAAAGACCAGCATGCTAAAAGTAATGAACTTGGCTTCATTAAAGCTGTCAGGCAATTTCCTAGCCAGAAAGGCCACCGTGAAACTGATGAGGGCTAAGAAACCCAGATAGGCAAGGACAGCATAAAACATTAAAGCTGAGCCTACATTACATTCCAAGATGGTCTCTCCAAACAAGGAGTGGAAGTCCAAGTTTGGAAATGGGGGAGAGTTTGCCAGCCAGGTGGCACAAAGAAGTGCTTGGACCAGGGGACAGGCTAAGACAATGGAGTTGGTCAGAGGTTTTCCTAGGAGTTTCCGTCCTCTGTTGCCTGGTTTGGTAGCCATGAAGGCCAGAACCACCATGACAGTTTTTGCCAAGACAGAGGAAACCGCAAGGGAAAAGAGAATGGCAAAGATAGTTTGTTGGAAGAGACAGGTGAACTTCCTGGGTCGACCAATGAAGAGGAAGGAGCATAGGAAGCAGAGCAGGAGGGAGACCAGGAGGATGTAGGTGAGATCTCGATTGTTGGCCTTGACGATCGGTGTCTCACGATGCTTAAGGAAAATTGCCAGAACTGCCAATGTGATCACAGACAGAGAAAGAGTGAGAGATGCTAAAACATATCCCAGGGTGTCATGATAGGCAAGGAAGTGGATCTTCTTGGCAATGCAGTGGTCCTTGTCCTTGTTGGGATACATGTCTTCTGGACAATGGTCACAGTGGTCTGCTTCTGTAATCAAGAATTTTTGTCTAAGTATTCAGGGGCATCTACAGTGAGCATTATCTCTCCTACCTAGAGTCTCAGGTATGGCTCCTTTCTACAGGGGCCAACTCAAAAAGAAAGTGATGGAAGGACCCCTGAGAAGTTTATGTGCACCAAAAAGGGCAAATCATCCTTGGTTCAAAATGTGTCCGGGATCAATTACTCAGATCTCTCTCTCTCTCTCCCTCCCTCTCTCTCTCTCTCCCTCTGCCCCTCTCTCCCCCTCCCTCCCTAGCTCTCTCTCTCTCCTTCCCTAGCTCTCTCCCCTCCCCCTCTCTCCCCCTCCCCCTCTCTCCCCCTCCCCCTCCCTATCTCCCTCTCTCTCTCCCTCCTTCCTTCCCTCCCTCCCTAACTCTTTCTCTCTTCTCTCTCCCTCCCTCCCTAGCACTCGCTCGCTCCCTCGCTCCCTCCCTCCCTTTCTCCAATCACTGGCTTTTTTTGTGAGAGAAGGTTTGGCACATATTTTTATTTTAAGCCAAAGAAGTTTGACCGATTTCTCAGCCAGGAAGCCTGCTTGTTGCTTCTTAGTTTTATTATTATTTGGTGTTTTATAAAATGATAATTTGACACACACCTGCACAAATCCACACACTCACATATAGACACACCTAAGTGTCATGGGAAGTGGGAGAGGGAAATCAGTTTCTCCCATCATTCTGTCAGAATTTTTTTTTGCAGGGAGGGTCTTGCAGCCATAGTATTTGGTTTTCTCATTGGTGCATGATAGAAGGAATGGAAAGGACAGCAAGAAATCCACAGAGTTCTGCCTTTAATGTAGCCTGTGGTAAGTTTGATCAGGAGAGCTGCCAATCCTTGTTCCTTGGAAGTTGGAGATTACACTGTCCAACCTACCACAAATAACCAAAAAACCCTTATTATTTTGATCTATTTAATGGTTGATCCTGGAAGATCTATATTTGAAGTCTGCTCTACCTGTCTTGTTAGAAATGGTCCCTTCTGGACAAGCGTCACACTGGTAGCAGCAAACCTGCTTGCCCTCTGGAACTCTTCTCCTCTCTCCTGCATGGCACCTTTTCCTTCCACACCTGGCAAAGGGCACCTTCTAAAAAAGAAAAGAGAAATGTTTGAGATGACCTAAGCAATGGTCTTGCATCATTTAATTTCCACATTGACATCTCTGTAAAGACCTGCCTCAGCTACCTTCTCAAGAAAGTAAAACTCTTGAAACGGTTTGCATTTCAAAAGGAACTTTTACTGAAGATAGTGATTGCAGAGAAGTCAGGCAGAGACTGAAATTCATGCATGAAGCATTAGGCTAACTTTCCCCTTCCACCCCCACCCCAATATCCCGTGTCCACCACTAACTAATAAAATGCCACAAAGGTGAGAAGAAGTTGTCCTCAGAATGCCACAACCTTGAATGCCAGGCTGGAACTGGTTGAGAGGGAGCCTATGCTGATGGCTAATTCTCCCCCCTCAAACTCCCAAGCAGTTACAGCAAAAGCGAAAGCATGCAAAACATTCAACCCACAAAACCTTCTCTCTCCACCTGCCCCCGCCCTTAGAATGGCAGTGGACTAGATAAGTAGATAGATAGATAGATAGATAGATAGATAGATAGATAGATAGATAGATAGATGGAAAGATAGATAGATAGATAGATAGATAGATAGATAGATAGATAGATAGATAGATAGATAGATAGAGATAGAGAGACAGACAGACAGACAGACAGACAGACAGACAGACAGATAATAAAACTGATGTATTCGGGGTGACAGGAAATCTCCATCTTCATAAGAAGATTAGAAGAATTGGTTCACCATAACCTCACCTGGAAAGATCACATGGGGAATTGAGAGCAATAACATTGCCAGGTAAACAATAGGTGTTTGGGATGGGAACTTCTCTAACGTAAGTAGCTACAGGTGGTCCCCACTTAAAGGACCTATTTTTAATTGTAATGAAAATTTCAATACATCATTTTAATTTTAATAAAAGTGCAGAGGAGAGCAACAAATAGGATTAGGGGACTGGAGGCTAAAACATGAACAGTTGCAAGAACTGGGAATGTCTAGTCTAACAAGGATGTTGTCATAGCAGTATTCCAATATTTGAAGAGGGGGGTCAACCTGTTCTCCTAAGCACCTGAGGGCAGGACAAGAAGTAATGGACAGGAACTGTCAGGTGCAGGAAAGCAGAAGTCAGGATAGAAGCACTGCTAGTTTATTTCATACTGTCTACTCACAAGAATCTGATCTACTAAAAGTCAAGGCAAATTGGCATCAGATAAGAGTCATCCAAACTCCAGGGGAACTGGACTGAGGTCTCTTACAGGAGTGTGGTGACCCCAAACTGATTTATTTGACTCCACCCTAGGGCTCATCCTGGTCATTCTACTACAGAAACATATCAAAGAGAGATTGAAAGGAGAAACTTTGTGACTTCAGAAGTTGTGGGTGCTCCATTATTGGAGGCTTTCAAGAAAGAGATTGGATAACCATTTGTCTGGAATGGTATAAGGCCGTTATGGCATGCCCAAAGTGGCATGTGGAGCCATGTTGCTTGGCATGAATGACATCGCCCGTTTCCTCTTCCGGGTTTCTGGCGCATATGCGCGTGTGACGATCAGCTGATCTTTTTGCATGTGGCAGTGCCAGAAACTAGACGAGCTGGTCTTCCGTTTTCCTATGTGAGCATGCACGCCAGCTAGCTGATCGTCGCGTGCCCATGCGCACCAGAAACCTGGAAGAGTAGCTGGCTGAAACCAGAAGTTAAGTAGGTGAAACCAAAAGTTCATTTTCAGGCGCGCTCATGCACCTGGGCAGCTCCTCTTCTGGGTTAGGGCCCAGACGTGTGCACGTTCCCTTTTCGGCACTCGGCGCTGAAAAGGTTCGCCATCACTGGTGTAAGGTCTCCTGCAAGGGGTTGTACTAGCAAATCTGCAAGGTTCCTTCCAACTCTGTTATTCTAACTGAGACCCTAACTCCTGAACTGCAGGAAACCTCAGCTACCCCAGTACCACAGCATGACGCATAGCCACATAGAGCAAAAAACCTCCAGTTGCTGAAACCCATCTGCATGACACAAAGCAGAGACCCAGCTGCAGCCACCTTCATCACCACTTCATCTGACTTTCTCCATCATTTTGATCCTGATGAGGCATGTCCAGCCAGGCTCTTTGGAGAAACTGCTGTCTGCATGAAGTGATTTTCCAAGGTCTTGTGAGTAAACCACTATGTACCATGTTTTCTCCAAAATAAGTCTGAGTCTTATATTCATTTTTGCTCGAAAGGATACTTATTTTCTGGCCAGGTCTTATTTTGGGGGAAATATAGTACTAAACGCCTCCATCTGCTGACAATCTTAACTGGGGCTTAATTTTGGGGGTAGGGCTTATATTATGAGCATCCTGAAAAATCATGCTAGGCCTTATTTTCCAGTTGGGTCTTATTTTTGGGGAAACAGGGTACATCCTAGGCAAGAAGCCTTTGTGTGGCCAGAAGCTGCCTTTTGAAGGGTCAGTCCAGACATACATCACCACCAATAGGAGCAAGAAGATACCAATGGACAGCTGATGTAGCAGGCAATAGCCAGGGCCAAGTAGCACAGGAAGCCAAAAGAACAGAGATGGTGGAGGCAGTGATTTTGATAATGTGAGCCAAGGGGCACCAATAGCCATAACTTTGAAGACTGGGGGTAAGTATCATTCATTCAGTACCATAAGAGCTTCAAATGATTGTTGAACAAATGGCCATTAAGTCTCTAGTAAGAGTGCAGAAAAGAGCAACAAAGAGGATTAGGGGCTGGAGGCTAAAACATATAAAGAATGGTTGCAGGAACTGGGTGTGTCTAGTTTAATGAAGAGAAGGACTAGGGGAGACATGATAGCAGTCTTCCAATATCTCAGGGGATGCCACAAAGAAGAGGGAGTCAAGCTATTCTCCAAAGCACCTGAGGGTAGGACAAGAAGCAATGGGTGCAAACTAATCAAGGAGAGAAGCAATTTACAACTAAGGAGAAATTTCCTGACAGTTAGAACAATTAATCAATGGAACAACTTGACTCCAGAAGTTGTGAATGTTTCAACACTGGAAGTTTTTAAGAAGAGATTGAACAACCATTTGTCTGAAGTGGTTGTAGGGTTTCCTGCCTAAGCAGGGGGTTGGATTAGAAGGCCTCCAAGGTCCCTTCCAACTCTGTTATTCTAATCTAATCTAATCTAATCTAATCTAGTCTAGTCTAGTCTAGTCTAGTCTAGTCTAGTCTAGTCTAGTCTAATCTAATCTAATCTATTCTTCTGGTCACAGAATTGGCTCTGCGAGTTGTTGACTATAACCGCACAAGACAGAATTTTCAGCATTCCCCCTTTCATCATGTTGCGTGTCCAGGTACCTGAGAAACCTTGAAATTGCCAAACACGGTTGCCATCTGGTATGAAGTTCTGGAGCTGAGACCTCCAAGGACAGAGACAAGGTTGTCCTCTGTGTCACACAGAGAGAGGGAGATGATAGATAGATAGATAGATAGATAGATAGATAGATAGATAGATAGATAGATAGATAGATAGATGATAGATAGATGATAGATAGATGATAGATGATAGATAGATAGATAGATAGATTAGATAGATAGATAGATAGATGATAGATAGATAGATAGATAGATAGATAGATAGATAGATAGATAGATAGATAGATGATAGATAGATAGATATTGTAGATAGACAGAGATAGAGATAGAGATCAGTAGAACAATTTGCCTCCAGAAGTTGTGAATGCTCCAACACTGGAGGTTTTTAAGAAGAGATTGGATAACCATTTGCCTAAGCAGGAGGTTGGACTAGAAGACCTCCAAGGTCCCGTCCAACTCTATTAATCTATTCTATTCTAAGTGAGGAATACCTGAAATTATATTCTCACTCTCTGGCTCTGAGCTACAGCTTTTTCTTAAAGAATCATAATGTTCAGATTAAACAGGAATGATCCATGGTGATAATTTATGCCTTCTCTAATTGCACTCTGGATTTCAACCAGGATATTTTCCCAATCCTCATACTTTGCAGACATGGCACAAATCAAACTTGAATCTGTTGTATGGAAAAATATATCTGTCACTGGACAGCTTTCATCTTTTCTGATTCAATCCACCTTTTCTTCAGGGAGAAGGACATTATGCATCCCTAGGAGAGAATGAACCTCTCCCTGGTTTCAGAAAATTTCCTTCCAGCCTACCTTTCTGGCCCAGATGATTGCATGTGAGTTGATGATAAAATCCTGGCCTGAGGGAGCCCTGGGATCTAGTTGCCCAACTTTCACAGGGATAAAAGACTGATTGGCGAGGAAAATCCAGTTGAGAAGATCATAACGAGCAGACACCAGTCCATCTTCTGAGAAGGAGACTTCCTCTCCAGCACTGTTGTTGAACTGGACAGTCTTCAAATAGGGAAAAAGCTGAAAGAAAAGAGACCCTTAGAAAGTGGGGTGATTAGAAATAAGACATCATGGCTTCTATCATTCCCTGGTGACCATCATCTTAGAAGATAATTACAAATATTGATAGCTAGACATGTTAGTTGAATGATCAGATGCAGCATCAAATCATAGGAATGTCTGGGTTCCACGCAATACATCCCCTTCAATGAGAACTCTGAGGCAGGCATTTTCCTCAAATAACATTTTATTGGGACATACCAAATTGGCAGAGTCTCAGTGGAAAACCAGATATAAGTTCCCACTGGTTTTACACCCAATTAAAAGTAAAACTTTGTCACTTCCTCCCAGAGTTCCAGGTGACATGATCCAATCAGCATGTAGTCCACTTGCTAGGTAACCTCGGTCTCCACCTTTCGAACACCTGCATGCACGTCCTTGATTCCCAGGGGAAATAATTTTATTTAGGCTACAACACCCCATCTATCTCTACACCCCCCCCCCATGGCCTCTTGCTCTAGGCTGTGCCGGCCCTGAAGCTAAGTGAAGAGAAACCTCCTTAGAGAAAAGCTACAAAAAGAAAATGGCCACAGTTAGGTCAGCTTCAAGGGTTGACAGGAATCTATCATGGAGCATTAGAGATGGACCCCAAAATAGCAAAATGATTCTA